TAGTTTTGAACTCTCTATCCAGTATTTTACTTTCATCCATTTCTTTCATTTGTGACTTATTTTTTTGTCTCTGCATTTTGGCTGCTTCCCTGTGTTTGTTTCTATGTACTAGGTAGCTGCTAAATCTCCTTGAGTTAATAGAGTGGCCTTGTGTGGTGGGTGTCTTAATAGGGCCCAGTGGCTCAGCCTTCCCCATCACCTGAGGTAGACACTCTTGGTGCACCCTTTTGTGGGCAGTTTGCACAGTCTTGTAGTTACCTTTGATTGCTGTTGGTATCACTGGGAGGAATTGACTTCCAGGCCAATTGGCTGTGATGACCAGCTGTGTCTACACTGGAAGTTCTGTTGCACAGGAGACACCCTTATGTGGCAGGACTTGCTTCAGTGGGGCTTTGGTGATCACTGAGTCTGCCCCTTGAGTGTGTTTCTTATGGATGTGAAGAGATAAAATCTGGTATGTTCTCAGTCTGACTACTGGGTACACTGGCTCTTAGATCTCCAAGGAGGTGCAAGGCCAGCCACACTCTGGGGCCACCCAGCAGGAGCTCAGAGACATCTGCAGATTTCTCCTCTTTGTATGGGGTTTGGAAGTGAAGCAACACAGGCTGCTGCTGCCGCTGGGCCTTGAGCCTTTTTTTTTTGGAAGCTCTGGGGCTTTCTGACCCAGCTACAGTTTGACAAGTTTTAGGCAGAGAAAGGACAGGCCATTCATATGCAAAAGCTGTTGCACACAACTTGGGTGGAGTTGTAAATTGGGTGGGGCAGGGTCTCTGGGAATCAACAGAGTGGAGCAAACAGCAATGGCTACCAGTCAACCCTGCATCAGCGAGGTCCCCGGGTGTCCCTGTCCCCCACCTCCATGCAGGAACAATGATCGCTGCGTGTACCTCTGAGAGAAAGCCACCTTCCCATTCCTGTCCCAATGCCAGATAGTCCAGTTTCTCCCATATGTGCCTGGGTCCCCCAGAGTCTTGCCAGGAACTGGAGTTCAGAGCAAGTGGGAGCTTGTTTCTCCCTCCTAGTTAAAGAGCAGCACATCCAAGTGCCAGCACTTTCCATGCCTCCAGTCTCAATGTGCCTTCTTCATCTCTCTAGTTGTGGAATTTCCACTCAGTCAGCTTTCCTGTGGTTCTGGGTGGAAGTTGTTCTGCCTTTTAGTTGTAATTTTGATGTGGTTGTGAGAGGCAGCGAGTATAGGTTTACCTATGCTGCCATCTTCAAATCCTTAGGCCTAAATCCTTTTAAGAATAGTAAGGACTCCTTATCATTTTTTAAAGACTAGGAGAATTTTTAAAAGCCAAGGGATAATTTTGGAACTGTGTAATCTGGGTGCTCACAGGCATGCATTCACATGAGGCATTTAAGAAGTGAAATGAAGAAACAGGAAATGCTTTCCCTATCTAATGGAAGATACCTGATTATTAGTATGGTGAAAGCTTAAAAGTAAAGAACATTATGCCACCTGTTGGGATATTCTGACACAGAATCCAGTTTACATCTTGTTAAGGAAAGTGAGAGTTTTGTGTCAACAAGCGGTGTCTTAATAAGCCATATTAATAAGTTCAGTTTTATTGTCCATCTTTCCATGAAAAATTATTTTTAAAATCTAGTATACTAATAACCCATCCCATATTATTTTTAAATGATCAATTTTGAAACATTTATAGAATTCATGAGTCATAAACATGTTAAATATTGGAATATATATTTTAATTTATTGTTAAAGTACCAAGGGTTCTAAGATAAGTAACCTTAATTTATTTATTCTAATTGTTTCTTCAACACTCAATAAAGCTTTGGCAGAGGAAACAGATGATCTTACTTATATAGTGAGATACTATGCAATAATGTACTTTATGGGCTTTATCAACAAAAAATATCGATATTTCTAATTATGGCACGTCCTTCTTTGTAATAGCTAAAGAGGCCAAGTAGACCTCTAGGGGGAGGAAAGGTGATGGTTGATAATAACAGCGATATATTGCACTCAGAGATGATGCAGGATATAAAAATTGTCTGGAGCCCTACCCGGTTTGGCTCAGTGGATAGAGTGTCAGCCTGTGGACTGAAAGGTCCCAGGTTCGATTCCGGTCAAGGGCATGTACCTTGGTTGCGGGCACATCCCCAGTAGGAGATGTGCAGGAGGTAGCTGATTGATGTTTCTAACTCTCTATCTTTCTCCTTTCCTCTCTGTAAAATAAATAAACAAACAAACAAACAAATAAATAAAATAAAAAATTGTCTGAAGAAAAGTTTATATTAGTTTATAGAGTTTGGGGTTGAGAAAGGGCAGTATAGCTAGCAATAGAAAGAAGTTTATCTCTTTCATAGCACTCTACAATATTGTGTGGTTGATGTTTGACAGTAGCAAATATAACTGTTTCACTTTTCTGAAAGTATGAAGCTTTTTTTTTTTTTTAATACACTGAGATATTTAAACCATTAGAAGAGAAATACCAAAGCTTTGGGCACTGTGTATGGTTGTCCATTTGTGCTTCTGCCACACTTGTTTATGGACAGCAGACTATATGTATTCATCTCCATTCACCTGCCTTGCATCTAATTTGATGCAGTGAGTTTCCTCATCAGTGAAGGAAATATCTCAATATTACTATTCAATTGGGCAAGCTAAGGCTGTTGACTTTTTGTTTCATGATTGACAAGAGGTCTGCTAAGCAATTAAAAAATAAAGATTATAAGATAATTTTAATGGCTAATGACTCTCCCAAGAGCTTTGCATGCATCTTCTCATTCACTGCTCACAGCAATCTGATTCGGTAAACATTCACTTCTCTATTTTCAAGCTGATGCAAATCACAGATAAAGCAGTGAAGTAACTTATCCCAAATCATCCAGTAAATTACTGGGCAATTCTGCCCAGAAAGTGCAGAACTAACTAGAACCTTTGGCTGTTTGATCCCATAGTCTTCATTCTTCAACATTTTTTTTTCTTCACTATGGGGAAATAAATTCCAGGTGTAACAAATTTAATGAAGAATGGGGAGCACAGTCTACAAGTTAGGTAACATCCGTGATTATAGGCTTTACTTATTTTCTCATCTTTACTATGTACCAAATAAATATCTTTGCATAAATTGAAGAATTAATTTTTAAGATTCAATTGTAATCTTTGCCTCATCTGACTTTTGAAGTGCCTTTGCCAACAAGTTCACATTCTGTACAGAGTATAGCTAACGTGGCCTGTAGTAGACATTTAGCAAATGCTTATCAAATGAATTCTAATGAAATGCTCGAGATAACTACCATGTAGAACATTCTCCTGAGCTCTGCAAGGTTGTTACCTCCAAGCCTGATTTTACACCATGCAGAAATAGTATGGGGAAGGGAAGATACCAGTTGCATTATTTCAAATTACCACAAATCAGTCAGTTTCCTATATTTCAATGTTTAAGCAGCATGATTGTTAAATCAGATAAACTGCTGGTCTTACGGGCAAACTTCATAATTACGAAAGTCCGTTCTACCGTGCTGGTACCTGACTCCTAGTTCCTACCTCTGGAGACATATGCTATTTCACCAGCACAGGCAGAAATGAAGCATGTCTCTGAATCCAGACATGATGAATAATGACTTGTTACTACAAGTTCTCAGCAGTCTAAATTCATTGTCAGAAAATGGAGTTTTGGGTTAGTGGCTCTTTGCATTCTTGTTTCTTTGCCCCATTCTTGGTAGCAGAAATGAAGCTTCCTATATAGTTTAGGGTTATATTCTGGGCAGAGAAAGCCATGGAGTAGAGAATTGATTTGTCAGTTATTTTGAACAGTCAGAGCTTCTGCTTCATGGAACCATCTTGGGTGGACTTATAAGTAATTAGGGCCCAGTTGGCATGGCTCAGTGGTTGAGCATTGACCTATGAACCAGGTCACAATTTGATTCTTGGTCAGGGCGCTTGCCCAGGTTGCGGGCTGAATCACCAGTGTTGGAGGAGGCAGTCAATGATTCTCACCATTGATGTTTCTCTCTCTCCCTCTTCTTTTTCTCTGAAATCTCTCTGTATATCCTATATAATAAAGAAGTAATATGCAAATTGACCATCACTCCAACAGACAAGATGGCCGCCATCATGTGGTCAAAGATGGCTGCCTCATGTGGACACAAGATGGCTGCCACAAGATGGCTAGCAGGGGAGGGCAGTTGGGGGTGACCAGGCCGGCAGTGGAGGACAGTTAGGTGTTGATCAGACTGGCAGGGTAGTGGTTATGGGGTGATCAGGCTGGCAGGCAGAGCGGTTAGGGCCAGGCAGGCAGGCAAGCAAGCGGTTGGGAGCCAGCAGTCCTGGGTTGTGAGAACTGCCTGTTTAGGCCTGGACAGGACAAGGCCTTAAGTGGGCATTTGGATATCCCTCAAGCAATCCCAGATTGAAGAGGGTGCAAGCTGGGCTGAGGGACATACCATATAGCACTGGAAACTATTAACACGTTATTTCTTAAGTTCCATTACTTAGGGGAAATGAAATATCAGCTCTTTAATCTCCTTGGAAAGAAATATTGGAACCATGGTATTAAGAGTTGAGGCCACCTAAGGTTAAAAAAGAATGGTGTTTTAAAGCTGCCAGTTTCAGGTCCCCCTATTTGGAAATGTCAAAATTCCTTATAAGTAGAAGCAGTTTGTACTGATCCTATATATTTCATATTCTCCAAGTCTTTCTAGTCTTCATCCTCACAATAAATATTAAGAAGTTGCTACAACTTTAGTCAATACACTGCGGAAAATAGTACTTCTTAGCATACTCATAAAAAACAGTTTAATTCAATATGCAGCTAAAGCTTTGTCATTTTTAGTCTTTAAAGGAGGAAAAACTCAGAAAAGACATTTCTTTTTGGCTTTCTGGCTGTGTAAAGACCCCTAATATTCATTGTACTAAAATGGAAACTAAGATGAAGGGTCTGGGGGTGTAAATGTGATTTGTTAAGGGAGACTAGCAACCTGATTTTTTATTTGATATAGATATTTCCATAGAAATGCTCATCACTAATGAATACATCAAAAACCATACTTTATTTTATGTATAGCAATACAATTTACATATTAAATAACACTATAATAGAATGATTTGATATAGTTTTAAACAGAAAGTAAAAGGGAAAAATTTCAGGTTACAAAACCCCTCCCCCTGGAACAAATTAAAAAAAAAACCCAAAACACTTTTTCCAAATGGGTCAATGCAGCAAATGTCTTCAGTGACTATGTCTAATTCCTTTGCACAAATGGTCAATGGAATTTTAAAAAAACAACCAACTGTCACAATCACTGCCTCAAAGAAATAACACATGTTAGATTCTTTTGGAATGCAGAGATGATTCTTTCTACTTCAATACACAGAAAGTTGAATTCACATATCCACCACACACAAAACAAAAACAAAAACAAAAAAAATCAAAAACAAAACTATGACGGAGTTGAAACTAGAAAAAAATTAGCTTTATATGAAAATATAAAATTCTATGATTATATACCATAGATACAAAGTTCCCAGAAGATGCTTACCCAAGCAACAAAATATTTACAGTCTTAATGTCCAAACAAAGTGAAAGGAACACGACTCAACATGAAGGCTAAGTGATTTTTTTTTTGTTTGTTTGTTTTCAGTTTTTAGAAACAATGGCTGCTTGCTAGTTTCAAATGTCTTAACAAAAGAGTCACTACCCCAAATGTTGGAGAGTTGCGACATTTTATAAAATTGGCTGTCTCCTTTTCTGGAGATGTTTATTTCTTAAAACTCAAGATATTTTTTTTTTTCCTTGAAATTAATTATCCTCTGTAGAAAATTCTTCCCTTTGCAAATATTTAACAAAAATACTAAAAACAGTTTAACAGCTAAGACAAAGTAGAGGCCAAATATCATTATTACAATTCCTTCCTATTTGTAGCATGCCTTCTTTCTAGAGATAAGTGAAACTGATATTGGATGCTAAGTGGCAACATGTTCAGGGAAAGTGCAAAGGGGCAAGTGAAATTACAGCTGGTTAAAAAAAAGAAATAAAAAGCAGGCATTTTCCTTCATATAAAAATTCACTGATACCATTGGAGCATGAACTTTGGAACATAAGGAGTTGAAATGCATTTTCCAGTATAACTGCTAAATTCTTAAGACAAACTACATTTTTTATTTCTTAAATTATGATGAGTTTGGGTTTCTTTTATTATCATTTTTTGCTTTGAATCAGTACTATGTATCTTTGGTAAATTGGTACTATATTTTAATTTTTAAATACAGTATATAAGCATTCAAGAAAAATTTATAACAAGGCAGTTGTGCTGTGTCATTAAGAAATAATTAAGGTTAGTTGATTGAAATATGTCACTCTGGGCTAAACACTCCCAACAGCCAGACTTTGAATACCATTTCCTTCTCTGACCTTGCTGGCCTCTCCAACTTGATGGAAATAGACTAAAAGCTACAATGAATAAAGATTCAGAAAACCCATTCAATTGATCTTATTCTTCCTGAAATTCAGACGTTCAGTTTTTTGTATGTAAAAAAGATATTGTGGCTTTTGGATGCAAGAGAATTCTCCTGATGGAGAAATGAGGTGTCTTTTCTCTGATGTCCAGCATGGACACTTGGCCTGGTCATTGCAATTTAATTTTGTATGATGCGCGCATTCTGTTTACCTAGAGCAAAAGTCATGTACCTAATAACGCTTATTCTACAAAATAGCACACACTGATTTGCAAAAGCTATTTCCTTCCCCCCGAGTGCAGTGGTGGTAACCTTGTTAAGCAATGTGCTTATGTTTCAAAGAAAATGCCATCTTTGAAGCCCCACTCCAGAAGAGCGGCAAGCATGCTTCTGCCAACAACAATTGAATAGGGGGGTACACTGTGGTCCAAGTGAGGAGCTGCTGTGCCTCACTGTCCTCAGGAAAGGATGCTTGGGTCGCTTTGGCAAGACGGGCAAATGGCAATTGCTCCTCGTTCAGGGGACCAGGATTTTGTAGCCTTTGGTTCAAGCCCGCTGTAAATCAACAAGTAGCTCACAGAGAACTTCCAAATCATCCCTGTAATGTTTCTATTCTGTTTTCTAGCTCTCTCTTTTATCATGCTTCTGATGGCCATCTAAGAGAGGGTCACAGGATTGTGTTGGAGGGTGTGCAGTTCCATGAATTGACACCTCTGTAAACAGCACAGAAGGGAATACTTGCTGTGTCTCCTAACCAATGTTTCCTTGTATATTAAGAAAAAATTACTGAGGGATCATGAACCCCCAACTTGCACATTGCTTCTGAAAGTCAAGTCCGCTGTGCCAACTCATGTCAATACTCTAGTCAAGTGGTCGGCAAACTGCGGCTCGCGAGCCACGGTTTGCCGCTCTGTTGACTAATGAGTTTGCCGACCACTGTTCTAATCTGTACAGCCAAAGTGACCTACTTAACTGACTGCAAAGATCTAGTTCGTAATGATATGAAACCTTTTCCTTCCCGATCCTGCGGCCTCCCGCAGTTGTAGTGCTTCATGTTCAAGCTTTATTCTTGCTTGTTAGGCAGAGCTTCTTGCGTCACCTCTGATGGGAGCAGGGGGACTCTAAAGGTGTCTTAGCCATCGAGCACATTCAAAGTTCGCAAACATGGCTCATTGCCACATCTTTTCTCCAGGACTGTTCTATGTTGCTGAATCTGTGTGACAGATGAGATTAACCTAACCCTGAAAATTACGTAGCTCACGAGCACTGCATTGACTGGGCCTGCGCATTAGAACTCCTGGGCTCGGCCTGTGACCTCTCTGCTTAGGGGCTGAGGCCGTTCAGCACCGTTCTGACAAACTTCATGGAAAGCCAGTGAAGAGAAGTAGGACGTCAGTGCCGATGACCACTAACATTCGAATGCCTACCAAGAGAGTAAAGTTGCCAGTGGGGACTTTTTGTTGTAGTTTATTGGCATAAAAAAATAACCACCCCCCCTTTTTTTTTCTTAACAGGTCCAGATCTGGCCATGATTTCACTCCTGACAGAAGTTGTCCCTCGAAAGCAAACAAGCACTAGGAGAAACAGATCTCAGTGGGTAGGTTGTTTTTTTCTAACAGAACTGAAATTCCTCATAATGCCCCTCATTCTCCCATTATGTACAGTGGGTGGCTGTGGCTCCAGAGGCCAGGCCCTGGGCTCTGTGTGGTGATCATCTGCCTCTTGTACTGACGTATGTCTGTGCTTGAGGCTACACTACACAGAAACATACAAAGCCATCTCTCTCTTCTAAAAGCTATTTGAAAATGCAGATATGATTTATCCAAGATTCTGTTTTCCTCTCTCCAAATCTAATTTGACCACATGTGGGAGTGTAGACGGTCCTAAGACTTATGCTAAGACAGTATTTTCATTCTAATTCTAAGTAGAAGAATGTATGTGGTTATGAGATTTATCATGAAACGTTTGGCAAAAAAAAAAAAAAAAAAAGGAAAGAAAAGAATGTTAACTAGATAGGTAGTTTTTATTAGATTGCTATATGAGTAATAGGAATTCTAGAGGACTGGTTTCAAAATCACACACCTGCAAAAAGTTTCATATTCCACCTGCCGTGAGGTATGGCATTATAAACCAAAAAGATCAGTGGAGAGTCGCTAAGGGGTTTCTTAAGGGAGCTGTGTAAAATATTGCCATCTCTCTATTGTAAAAGATAGCCCTGCTTTGAGGGTGGAGCTATTTCAGAATCAAATGGAAATAACACACGCCGTCCACATAGCTATTGTGAAAACTGTAATACAGAGATATCCTTTATTTTGACACAGTTGGGCATTTTTAAGCTATGAGTATACGTTTGTAACTAATAGGTGATGTTCACATGAAGCAACTCGGAAACCTTCTAATTTCTCAATGGATGTCTTCCCCATCATCCATGGAACTGCTTCAAGGCCATGAAGCTGACCAACCTTCTTAGTAGCTCCCAAATCTAACCACCTACTATTCTTTAAAAGAAAACAATGCTCATCCACTAAAATAGAGAAGGCATACAGTATTGAACAATGCCTAAAAAAATAAAAAATAAAAAAAAAATAGCAGAGGAGGGCTGAGGAAAAATAGAGCATTGCCTGCTAGTAGAATGGTAACTGCTTTAGCAATAATAATAATAGAACCAAGATTCACTGTCCTAACAAAGACCTTCACTGTACTGAACTAAAAAAGGAGCATGTATGTTGTTATGGAATGTCACACCAGGGTTTGCTTTAGTATTAGATTATAGGCAGTAACACTGATCAGATAGTGCAAACTAGGTCAAATTGCGTTTCACGGGAGTGGGTGGTGGGTCGGGGGGAATGAACAGAGGTGCAAATGCTCAGTAGGATACCATTAAGACATAAAATGGCAAAAAATAAATATCAAAACTTTTATCAGTGTAAAAAAGTAACTGGGTTATTATATAACCTAGAGTCTGGCAAAAAAGGCCTCAAAAAAGTTCTCAGTCTTCAGAAGTTTTACAAATTAGGCGCCCTGGCGGGGTCGCCGTCACACCAGAGATTCCATGCTCTCGGCAGGGTCCGATTCGTCTGCGATGAGAACAGCACCATTTTTGTCCACGGCCATGGGACCGTTTCCATTCTCTTTAGTGCTGACCAGGCTGAGCATTGCTTTGTAGACAAACTGGTATTGTTCCTGAAACACAAGAGGAAGACGGCGTGAGCCAGAGGGCAGCTTCGGCATTTCATCTAAGGTAGGAATACTAATTAGAAATGTCACCGGAAAACATACTTGAGAAACAGGAATGGACACTGATGCTGTCTAAAAAAAATCACATGAATCCTTTATAACCAAGACATGTGCTTCCTTCACATCCTTTAGGTATCTGCTAGCTTGGAACTAAATCTAATTCCCACTGTTGAGAGTCAGTTAAGATAACAGGGTACCCGCCTATTGTAACTAGAGGACCCTGTACCTTAGAAAGCAGGGTTTCTCCAGCCCAGCACCCCTGACAGTTTGGGCCAGACGATTCTTTGTCTTGGAGGTCTGCTTCTTCACTGCAGCATCCTTGGACTCACTAGACGCCAGAGTACTTCTCTCCAACTCCAGTTATGACAACCAAAAAAGTCTCTTGACATTGCCAGATGTCCCCTGGGGATGGGGAGGGGGCCCAAATCACCCCCCGCTAAGAACCACGGCTCCACAGCCTGAGTTTTGACGGATGTTGTATAGTCTTCATAAATAAGCAGAGTACTTACAATGTCTGTGAAAACTCCAGGCCTCATAAGATTGATCATTTTTGCAACCTGGAAAACATCCACGGCATTTTCGTTCTCGAGCTGCTGGGACAGGGTGGTGAGGGCACACAGCATTCCTGCCGAAACTGCTCCATACCTCGGGAAGAAAGAAAAGGCTAGTTCAGATCTACTGAGGGGCTGGAAAACTATCAAATATGCAGTTTCTGCATTATTCTTACATGAAATAAAACATGACAAATTCTTACACCCTGAATACAAATAAGACCAATGTCCTCTTAACCATCACTCCAACTTTAGAGGTAAAGTATCCACAGATAAAAACGGTTGCAATTTTGGATGCGGCCTTCCAGATGTCAGTATGTCAGTGCATTTCAACCAGCTCATTCTTTCCTCTGCTATAGGTGTACCAGATTCACTCATCGCCCAAGCACAGACATGTATGTTACATGTGTATCTTGTGTGCATTGGAAGAAGAGCCCTGTGGAGAAGCACTGGGCCACAGGTATGCCTGTTTCTGTTTTCAAGATATTGCCAATTTCTCTCCCGAGTGGTTGTTACCGATTTACACTTCTTCCAGCATGAGAATGCATGAGAATATTTGTTTTTCCTCATCATTTAATTAATTTATGTATTTATTTTTTTGGTTAATCCTCACCCGATTAGAAAGAATGGAAGGGGGAGGGGCGAAAGAAAGAGAAAAAACATGGATGTGAGAGAGACACATTGATTGGTTGCCTCCCATACCAAGCCCACCGGGTTGGGGGTCAAACTTGCACATGCTCTTGACCAGGAATCAGAACCTTTGATGCACGGGCTTACGCTGTAACCATTGAGCAACACCATCCAGGGCTTTCCTCGTCAATTTAAAGTTTAATTCTTTTGCCAATCTGGTGGGTGAAAACTGTATCTTACTATTGTTTTCATTTGTATTTCTTATCAGGGAAGTTGAATATCTTGCTTATTGGCCATCTATATTTCCTCTTTGGAAACTATTAATATGCTTTGAACATTTCTCTAATAGTCTTGTCTCTTTGAAATGGATTCATATTAGCTATTTTATATTACCTGTGGCACATGTTGCAAATGTTTTTTTCCAGTCTCTAGTTTCTGTTCACATTGATTGTGGTTGTTTATGTTGTACTGAAATTTAGATGTAATCAAGTTTATCATCTTCTCATGTTTGTCCTTTTTGGAATCTTGTTTGAGAATGCTTTCTCTAGTCCAGTATTTTACATTGTTTTCACATTTAATGAATTCATCTGAATTTCATTCTGGTTTTGGTGTAAGATAAGGTCTGATTTTAGTTATTTTTTTTCTAAGGGTAACTAATTGCTCCAGCTTATTTTTAATGCTTTCAATTAGAGTTTATAGTTTTCTCCATAGTCTTGGCTAATTTCATTCTGGGTTAACTCCTAGGTGTTTTAGAGTTTGTTACTGAGAATGGGCTCACGGCATTTTCTGTTTGGTTTCAGTTGATAGAAAGTTCATTTTTGCATGGTGAACTTGTATCCGGCCACACGGCAAGACTCTTTAAGGCCTAATAATCTGTGAGCCATTTCCCGAGGTTGGCTACATCTTTATCTGCCAGTAATGCCAGTTTTGCCTCTTTTTAGCCCTTAGGTATTTTGCTTTACTGTGAGGGTCAGGGCCTCCATAGTTTTCTACTCTGGCACTACAAGGATACATCATGTTGTATTCTTTAATGGTAAAGCTTCTAAGTTTTTAAAAAATATATATTTTATTGATTTTTTTACAGAGAGGGATAGAGAGAAATATCGATGAGAGAGAATCATCGATCATCTGCCTCCTGCACACTCCCTACTGGGGATGTGCCCGCAACCAAGATACATGCCCTTGACCAGATCGAACCCGGGACCCTTCAGTCCGCAGGCCAACGCTCTACCCACTGAGCCAAACCAGTTTCGGCAAAAGCTTCTAAATTTTTAACGTTAAATAAAAATGGTACAGGTTTCTGATAAATAACATTGATCAAATTAAAGAGGATGCTTTATACTTTTAGTTTGCTGAGTTTTTTTTCTTTGGGGGATGGGGATTATGAGTAGGTGCTATTTTGGCTTTGCAACATCTATTGATTTTTTTTAAGCAATACCTTTAATAATAATGCTCTGAATTCACTGAGTTTTTTGGTAATATTTAACCTGCTCTTCATTCCCAGAATCAATCTAACCTAACCTTTTCATGATGTATAATTCTTTGACTATATATAACACAGTTTTTATTTAAGAGTATTTAGACCTTTTAATCCACATTTTCATGTCTGTTTTCTGTGTGTTGTTTAAATCTCCAGCTGTCAGAACTTAGTGGCCTTAACAGTTTTGAGAACTCATCCTTTTATTCTGTTTTTAGTTTAGATCCCTAATGTGTGGTGCGCTCTTACTATGCTGCTAGGCTCTTTCCTAGATATTTTACATGCAACAACTTAACCTTCATAATAACCTGTTTTCAGGTACCACTATTATCCACATTTTGAGGTGGAAGGAACAAGGCACATTCAGGTGAATTAACTGGCCAAAGCCTCATAGCGGGTGACTAGAGCCCAGATTTGAGCTGATACATGTAAATGGCTGGGAACAGAGACTAGCACATCTACCATAAGTATTATTTATTACTAGAGGCCCATTGCACAAAAATTCATGCACTCAGGGTATGTGTGTGTGGTGGTGGGGGGTCCCTCAGCTCAGCTGGCACCGCCCGGGAGCCCTGGGGGATGTCTCACTGATGGCAGTGGGACACCGTTAGCACCGCCAAGGAGGCCGGAGAGGCCTGTGCTTGCAGCTGTCAGCCCCACTTGTGGCTGAGTGGAGCTCCTCCTGTGATAACACACTGACCACCAGGGGGCAACTCCTGCATTGAGTGTCTGCCCCCTGGTGGTCAGTTCCCATCATAGTAACCTGTCGGTCCACAGTTAGGGTCAATTTGCATATTACCCTTTTATTATATAGGATGCTTATGATTGAAGGGAGAGGGGCAGGAAGAGATTAACCAAAAACTTATATGTACATGCATAACCCATGGATGCCAACCGCAGTGCAGTGAAAACCTGGAGGTAGGAAGGGGGGGTGGAGGTGGTCAATGGTAATAAAGGGTGGTATATCGGTCATACTTTCAACAATAAAGGTAAGTCATAAAAGTTTACTAGTACGAAATTCTAAATAATTTTAAATACTTATGTCCTTTAAAATACTTCTATTAAGCCTTTTATTATAGAAGAAAATATCAAACCTACATAAAAGTACAATAGTACTATAGCCATCGATAAATCACAACAGTCACCAGCTCAAGGGAAATCTTATTTTATCTCTACTTCCTCCCGCATGTCCATTGAAGGAAATCACAAGTATCTTATTCATTAATATTTTCTTATAAGGATTTGAAAAAAAATAAACATTATCATCACACCTAAGGATATTAACAATTCTCAAATGTTTTCATGTAATTACATTTTTCAAAGTTCTATCTTTCACTAGACTTACTATCTCCTCCCTGCCCCCATTTTAATTCCTTGAACTTTTAAAAAATGTATCTATTTTTTCCTTTTTTCTTGAGGTGAAACAGCCTTATTTTTAATCTTTTCTGCAATAGACAACAACTTAGGCTAGATATTTTTTTTCTCTCAGTGTAGTTAGGCTACATTTAATTTTTTCTCAGTGTAGTTAGAAATTACAAAATACTTAAAATTAAATGTAGCCTATTTTCTTTATATATATATTTTTATTGATTTTGTACAGAGCTGAAGGGAGAGAGATAGAGAGCTAGAAACATCAATAGAGAGCTAGAAACATCGATCAGCTGCCTCTTGCACAGCCCCTACTGGGGATGTGCCCGCAACCAAGGTACATGCCCTTGACCGGAATCGAACCTGAGTCCCTTTAGTTCCAAAGCCGACGCTCTATCCATTGAGCCAAACAGGTTTCGGCAAATGTAGCCTATTTTCAATACCTCTTTAACCCATCAATTATCTACAATTCTAGATATAAGGACTTCAGTGTCTTAATATAAGGATTTGGGGTATCATTTCATTATTGGTTTTTAATATTAATTCATTGTAATCAAGGAATGTGGCACCATTTTTTTTTAATGTACTGAAATTCCATTTATGGTCAATTTATCTAAATAAACTGTATGGTCTCTCAATACAGTCTCTTAGGTAAACTTTTACATATCACTGTTAGATCAGTCTTGTTAATTGTGGTATTCAGGTCTCTTATTGTTCCAATGCATCCTGGTCATTCCATGTAAGAATTTATTTCTTTATTCGGTTCTCAAAAAACCTCAGCCATTATTTCTTCCTCTTGCATCTCTCCATGGGGTCACCTCCTAGACCAGTGGTCGGCAAACTCATTAGTCAACAGAGCGGCAAACTGCAGCTCGCGAGCCACAGTTTGCCAACCACTGTCTTAGACTTATGTTGAAACTTTTGTATCCAGTTTGAGTTTGATTTCAGCTTTGTCCATTTTACTACAGGCACATCTTTCCATTTCATAGACTCTAATTTGTTCCTGACACACACACACAGGTTTTTAATTCATTGCACAAGGTCTTCCTTCAGATCTCTGAGCATATTTTAAAATCCTATTATGATTGCTCTTTTCTCAGAGGATGCTAAGTTGTACTGAGTTTACTACTTTCTTATTTTAGCATGACACCAATGTTTTCCAGGGGGAGAATTTAACCTTTGCTAGTCTGTTCTAGAGAAACTGTTAAACTTGGGGATCCTTTTCCCCTTCCTTTGTTCTTCCTTAAAGTTACCCAAACCATGTGGGGTTGCTCTGGCCTTTCCTATATTTAGCCACTCTTAAGTCAGTATCTAAATTAAAATGAAGTATCTATGCAAAAAGACTTAGTTTTTAGTCATGTTCAATCAAACAGATATTTTTAAGTACCTTCTATAAACCAAGCATGAATATGAAAGAATAAAGATTGAAAGGCCTTTTTTTTTAAAGCAGTTTAGGAGTTAAATTTCGTGGATCTGCACTTAAAATGTTAGGGCCGTGGTAAAAAAATGAGGCGGGTCATTTATAAGCCAGATCAGTAAGAATAGCATACAAAGTACCGCCTCTGGCAGCTAGTCTGCACTCCCTGGAAGCAGTAATTGTTTAATTAGTGCGGGGAACAAAACATTTTCATCTTTCCCTTCCTACCTACGCCACAAAGACATGAAAAGAAATGCAAGCACTTTAAGTTACCAACCAGTGCAATGTTTGTAGGTGATCTGCTGATACACATTTTACAAAACACCGGAGTTCCTTGCATAGTCAGTGTATATATTAACATCTATATGTCCTTTTAATTACTTTCTACTACTACATATAACTACTCACAATTGTTACAGCTTTACTTTTTTCTTTTGAAATATTTTGATTTTTTTTTTTACAGAGAGGAAGGGAGAAGGATAGAGAACTAGAAACATCTATCAGCTGCCTCTTGCACACCCCCTACTGGGGATGTGCCCACAACCAAGGTACATACCCTTGGCCAGAATCGAACCTGGGACCTCTCAGTCCACAGGCTGACGCTCTATCCACTGAGCCAAACCGGTTTCGGCCAGCTTTACTGTTAAGAGGTTGTTTTTAACACGATAGCCAAGAATGCAATCTTGCGGGGGAAATAGCAGTGCAAACACTTCCCGCAGTACGGTAAGAAATTAAAACTTTGTAAATGAATGAGAAATTAGGAAAACACTCAGTCTGACAGATGTGAGTGCAGGATGCTTACTGGGAAAGCAGCTGGATTCGACTGTGTCAGGGCTGGCTTCTAGCCTCGCCACCTGGGCAGTTGCAAGAAGCGGGAGTGTGGTTTGCTGGATCCCCTACTCAGAAAGGTCCTACTCTTAAGTTTAGTGCTCTGCTGTAGCCATATAGAAATTCTTAATTTTTGACAACTGTTCCTGGTCCCCACTGATTGTAGCTCTGACACTATCTGTGTACACAGGCTGAGACAGAGTCACTATACTTGTTTTCCCCTATGTGAAGCGGGCATCCTAAAGCTCCCCTCCCAGAGGGTAAATGCGAGGATTAAATGAATCGGTGATGAAGGAGTGTCTTTGCAGCAGCTGGCATAGAAGGCACTCCATACATTTCTGCATCTGCTATAGACTGTCTCAGGACCAGATTAAAATAAGTTATTGAAAAGCCGGTGCACGATCGGGGCCAGGGAGAGCTTTTGCTTATTTGGGCTCTCTCTCTCAATACCAGCAATCAGAACTGAGGCAGACCATGCAAGCACAATACTCCATTAAGCATCAGAGGGAGGATGCCCTCCCAGGTCACACAGCCCGGGAGCGCTGCACTGCACGCTCACGGCAGAAGGATGGAAGGGCCTTGACGACTGCCTCCCTCTCCCCTCCAATCCCCCATCACGTGTCCTTAGAACACACTTCGAGAACTGTTCTGTGACATTAGATTACTGTGATATCCAACGGGGTGTCAGATACGCCCCCAGAGGGAATGTGCTGTGAGTGAGGGCCTCGTCTACTGTCTCATAAGACCGTGGAAGAACCATGCCTATCTCCCAGCTTCTGTGGAAACAGACTTCCTCGTATAAAAACTTGACAGTAATGATACGGCTCAGCTCTGAACAGAACTGACTTAAGCAGATGAATTCAGGATGCTTAAGTTTAGTGCTCTGTTGCAGCCACGCAGAAATTCTTAATCAGCTGCTCTCAAAGAGCATCAGCTTACTTTTTGTCATTTATCTAGAAATGTCATCTACCTGGCTCCCAGCTGAGGACCCTGAAAGCAGGAGTTAGAAGATCGCTGTGAAGACCAGAGATATCGTGGAGTCTGTGCACTGAGAGCTGGACTCTGACTTAGAGTGGAAGCGCTCAGGTCTGTTCACTTCTAATTTTGAGCTTAAAACACCTTGTAAATTGGCTTTACTGTTCACAGAAGAATTGACAAACGCAACAAAAACAAAAAATTCCTATCAGGGTACATAACCTTGAATTTTTGTAGGTCATCACAGTCTGAAGCTTAGTGCCCACTAATGCCAATACTTGCCAGGTACCTACTATGTGCTAGGCGCTGGGCTTTACCCTGTGGAGACTGGGATGGCAAAGTTACCACTATTGGTCTCAACAGTCATGTGGACAAATAGTTACAATCAACATATATAATAAAAGCAATCAACATATATAATAAAAGCCTAATATGCCAACTGTCCAGTTGTCTGGTTGGCAGTTCAGCCAATCAAAGCATGATATGCTAAGGTCACTCAACTGCTCACTATGACATATCCTGACCACCAGGGGGCACACAGTCAGCCGGTCGGTATGGGCAGGCGCTCTGACTTGTAGGTTAGCTTGCTGCTGGGATCCAGCAAATTGGAACTGAGCAAGATGGGCTGGGCATGCCCTGGAGCCCTCCCAGGACCCGATAGTGTACCGGTGGGGTCCCTTGGCCTGGCCTGCATCCTCTGACATCTCTCTCAAGGGGTCCCAGAATGCAAGAGAGCCAATTTCAGCCTGATCCTGCAAGCCAGGCCGAGGGGCCCCACTGGTACACGGATTCATGCACCAGACCTCTAATATGTGATAAATAGGAATGGCTCTAGTAAGGATGTGATGCTTATAAATGATTGTGAAACCTCTGAAATGAGTTATAAACATTTTGGACAGTGTGTTGAATGAAGGGGCACTCAGAGGACAGAGTCTTTGCAGGGAAAGCGGCCTGGAGGAGGACGGGCTGGCAACTGGAAAAGGAAGCAGAATTTGGAAAATGTGCTGGAAGGGTGCAGAGCAGCAACAAGAAGTGGTAGATGGGGCCAGCTGGAAGAGGACAAGTTTGGTTTTAGATGAGCTACATATAAGGGGTTTGTAGGCCATCATGAAGGAATATTTATAGGTACTGAAAGGTTACTGGCATTCAGAGTATTGCACTAGAGCTAGCAGCTGTTTAAGAGTTGTTCCTGAGTAATGTGGAAAAGGGATTTCTATGGCATCGCTTATCACCTAATGATGGAGAAATGAATGAACACCCTGCTTTAGGTGGTTTTCATCCGCTATATCTGTAGACCCACTGGTTTAGGTTAACTTTACCTTTTCTTATTTAGACCTAAGAATGCTGCCTTTGATAATTTCAGAGGTGGGATAAAATAAAAATTATTGAATATAATACACTCAAAAGCTGAATACAAATAAGTGAATGAAACAGTGCTGCTAATACTGTTTAACTAGGTGGCGGTGTGTTTTTCTTTTCTCCTTCCCTTACCATAAAACTATAAGATAAAGTGTTTTTACTGACTTTAGGACAAAATTCCTTGGAGTATTACCATACCATCCAAGTGAGTCTTAGAACTTGGGCAGCAACATTAAGATTTGGCCTGAATTAATAGGAGATGATAGGTAATAGGAGATGATAGGTAACACCCAGAAGTAATTTAAAAATGATCCAGTTGCCGAAACCGGTTTGGCTTAGTGGATAGAGCATCGGACTGAAGGGTCCCAGGTTCGATTCCGGTCAAGGGCATGTACCTTGGTTGCGGGCACATCCCCATTGGGGGTGTGCAGGAGGCAGCTAATCGATATTTCTCTCTCATCGATGTTTTTGAGGCTGTGTGCTGTTTTTTTACACTGTTGGTGGTTTTCACATTAACTGAGGTTTGGACTATAATGCTCTTCTAACTCTAAGGCCAACATTCTGTAATAGTCACTATTTCCTAAGGAAGCAGCCAGTAAAATGGCTTCCTTCAAATAGAAGAGAACTCTGGATTTGAGGTAAAGGTGCAGTCCTAGACCAAAAACCTTTGTGCACTTTCAATTATATCATAAGCTCAAGGGGGTGGGGTGGAGGAAGGCAACATAAGCTTTGCTTTCAAATGGACTAATATGTACGCTATTGAAGAAGCTGGTAATTGAATGAGCATGATGGAAGCACTGGCCAAGGAAGCTATCATAGATCCCTGGGAACTAAACTAGAGAGGAGGATGTGTAACTAGTGCCATGCCAGCTAAAGGTTGGTGAGGTTCGATACAGCTGACTCACAGGTTTGGCCAGACACCCATACACCATGAGGCCTGTCTGTGGCCCTTTCCCTCCTAGGAAAATGGATGGAGCTGGGTTTGAACACAGTTTGTACCTTAAAATATCTGAGCCAAGAGCAACTTCTTCTCTTTGAGACCTACCCTCTTTACCTTGAAAACGCCAAAGACAGAACTCTAAGCTTCAAAGCACACTTTAAACTCTAGTAGTTCAACTTTAGTAGTTCAACTTTACTGCTAACCAACAAAACCATATTTAAAACGGTTTCTTCCCTAATAGGTGTTTTTGAAAATTCCATGTAGGAGTGTTAAAATAAAGGTAACTATCCAATCAGCATAGATAATCAGAAATTTAACTGATTATTTGTGTTATTGAAACATAAAACCTCGGCAAGCATGCAAATCTATTTTTCTGGGCTCAGATACGGGACTTTCCCCTTTCTAGGGCACACATTCTAGAACCTGAAGCCTTGAAGGCTTCGACACGTTATAAGGCAGACAGGACCACAACACCCTGCACAGGTACATGTCAGAAATGACACAGAAGCGTCCTGAGAGGGAACAGGTTTCTAAAATGCCTTCCCTTCCCGCTGCTGGAGCAATGCAACAGGCAACCGTGTGAACTTGAAACTTAAGAAGCAGATACATACTCATCGTGGACAATGGTGGGGCCATCCCTGGTCAAGGCCTCTTCCTTGATGACATTGACAAGTTCAAAGGTGCTGCTGATGGGGGCGTCTGGGTTAGGCCACTTGGGACACTGAAAGTGCCGGACTTCCAGGACGTAGTCATCCTGCAACGAGACAACAGCATTCATCTCTGCCCTCCAGTGGCTGGAACCCGCTCCCGAGAAAGCACGTCTTGCAGACAGACAGCTAAAGAATCCAGAGCAGCTCATGACAGCGAAACAGGAGAATCCTATTTTGTTCAGGCAAAAAATTTCATGGGACAATTTTTCTCATCTTTAAAATTAAAGAAGTTAAGGGATAATTTCTAATATAAGCCAGCTGCCCTCTCACCTGCCCCTTAAGAAGGCAGTTACTACACATCAAAATTCTGTGTAACCAAAAGTCTTATCATTATCATCCCTGCAACATACCGCAAGCTTTCCATTTCTGATGGCAAAGAAAACACAGCTCTAGTATATTGTTTGTTCCAGTTATGTCAACAGACCCATTTGTATGTGCCACTCAGAGGAGCTGGTTATATTTCATCCACCCAACTGGGAAAGCAAATACTGGAAGGTGGAAAAAGGGGAATATACATATTTCAAACAAAGTCCTACTCACATGCCTGGACCTGCCTGGAGGGTGGTCAATTACTTCAGTTACTCGGGCCAGTCCGCCCAGATATAGCTATTCCTCAGCACGGAGGGTTAGGTTACCTGTGTAGCTTCCAGAATAAAGTCGTGGATGATGATCTGTTCTTCATTAGAGAGGCACAGTCTGTCTTTGCTGATGAGGGTGACAGTAAAGGCCTCACAGTTCATGGATTCTTCTCGACTTGGCCAGTACACAAACTCATCTTCTGCCTATGGGAACCAAAATGCATCCATAGATAAAATCCTCTGTGCTGCCAAACATTTATGAATTTTCTTGCAAAATGATTTCTTAACGCTTGCTATACCTCTCACGTCATCTTTTAAATTAGGTTCATAGAATTATATCCTTACCTAATCATGCTGAGTTCATTGGTTATTCATTGCATACGTGATCATAACCATTTCTACCAATTCTCACCTATGTCACTGTAACAACCAAAATGCATCTATGGAGGATGCATTGGCCGCAGCTGAGCAGTGTTCTGTAATATATTGTCATGGAAAAGGAGGTGGGATTTAGGTCAATTAATTCTAAGCTGCTATTCATAATTGCTTAAGCAAATAATAGTTCACAGTTGGTTAACATTTTGCAAAGGACTTTCATAACATTATCTTATTTAATGATTGCAGTATACTAGTGAGGGAAGGGATTTTTCTCATTGTCCTTAACAAGACACCAGGACTCAAGAGAGGTCCATGAGTTGTCCCAAATCTCTGATAAATGTTAAAGGGAAGAGGCTGTACATAAATAAGCATTTGGCTGTAGTTACAAGGTGTTCTTTAAAAGAAAAGTTAGTACATGATGTTAGGTTTCAAAAGGGGATAACATAGAAAGCCTTTTAGCCTTGAATCAGGCAAGCTTTAAAATGTTCCTCTATTTTAAAATTAAAAGTAAACATTCAGGCTTCGTACTTGAGTTCTATCCTTGAAAACCATGGAGACCTAAAAAAAACAGTTAATTGTTGCAGAAATACAATGATTTTGACAATAAGCCCTCCTCCCTAGTTGGTTCCTGAGGCAAACTAAACTTTCTTGGGGCATTTTCCTAAAAATGCTAAGATACTGCTAGTGAAGTCAGAAATAATTCTGAATAGTGTTCAAAACAAAGAGGGTTTTGTTTAATATTACAATGTTGCATTAGAAATGAGCCAGCAGTCCAATAAGAATTATCACCCTTTCAAGTTTCAATACAGCTATTGCCAAGTACGTTTTTATTTTTAAAGCTCAGCATAAGGGGAAGCAGATTAGCGATTGGGTTCAGGCTATACAAAAGAAGTCTGTAACTGTCAGTGTTTCAATAAACTTCATCCAAAGGAGAAGGAAGTAGGGCCCTTTTAACAGCTATTAAGCACAAGGTCATTGTTGATGGACAAGGCCACTGAATTCAGCCAATATGCACAGACTGAGCATAGGATTTAGGGTGGATGTGATCCTGAATCAATCAATGCAGCCGAGCCTTACACTCCATGGCTGAAAGTGGGAATAGTAACACTCCCTATCTCAGAGAACTTGTATGAAGGCAACATGAAGAGGAAATTATGGAGTGGTCGAAAGGCTGCTGGAGGGATGGAGTTGTGGTGACAGAAAGGCAGAGAGAGACGTTTGAATACAGGTAGTAAACGGGAATAATGGATCATCTTGAAAGACTGAGAAAAACATATACTACTCGTTAATTCAGTAGGCACCCTGGTCTCATGCTTATTTGGTGACAAATATATTTACAGAGGGTCAGAGAAGTCTAGGCATCTCTAACGGTGCTTTCTGCATCAGGAACCAGTGACTTCCGGGCTAGTCACAGAATTGTGGTCTTGTAAAATTATACTAGTAAGAAGCAATAGTGTAAACAGAGGAGTCCTCACCCAAAAATAAAGAGAGTGGAAGGGGGAGTGAGAGAGAATGTGAGAAAGATGCATAGATTGGTTGCCTCCTGCCCACACCTTGACCAGGGCTGGGGATTGAACCCAAGGCCCTTTGGTATAGCTGATGCCCTAACCACTGAGAGGCACTGGCCAATTTTTTTTAGGAAAAACTACAATAAATGAATCTGACTTTGGGCACTGGAGCTGAGAGTACAGCCCCCCTACGCCTCAGCAACACTGGGTGATACTTCTATGATGTGGGTGGGACTCCCACTACAGCAAAAATGATTGAAAGCACGGGATGACATGGTCCAGGGCAGGTCCTATAGCCTCAGGTCTGCAGACCATGTGTCTACTCATTTGGTCCAGCCTCCCCATACCAATGAGTACATGGTTTTGGTGACTGTCCTCTGTTAAGTGAAAATAAAATACTAATTCATCCAACAAATGAATGTCTTAACAGCCCTAAATGCCTCAAAATCCCTCATGCCAACAGAACAGACCCCTACTGCCAGCTAATTTGAAAATTTACACTCAGTGTTCAGCTTCAGCTTCTCAACGTGGTTGCCACTCTATGGTGCAGAAGCAGTCTTGGTATTCTGAAGCTGGAGCAGAATGCGGCAGCAAAGAAGTTCCTACTGACTGGCACACGGTCAAATGCATGTCACCCAGCCTCGGGTTCAATCACACTGCTCTTTCCTGACTGAAAACCTCTCTAATCTGACACTCATGAGGCAGATCCTCATAGTGTTTTTGTTTTGACTTCATGTGCTCACATGTCCTTACAGTAACGTTTGAACCCAAGTAATTTTGAAACGTAGAGATCTAAGCACAGAAATTTAAGCTTATCTATGCATACTTGCTGACCCTTCTCAAGTAGTTCAGAGAGCTCAACAGGGAAGGACTAAGGAGAGGAGAAAAAGGTAGTCGCTTAGTGAAGTTCTTAAACACCTTTGCATGGGAATGGGAGAGCCTTTCCTTACCTCCTTCCCTGTAATGGCTCTGCGTTAGCGACGACAGGGAAAAGCAGTGTTATTACTTTTTATACAATTTTTTTTGGGTGGCTGGGTGATACTTCTATGATGTGGGTGGGACTCCCACTACAGCAAAAATGATTGAAAGCACGAGCTCAGGTGACTGAGGTTTAAATCTTGACTCGATTGATCATTCATGTATGCCCTTGAGCAACTTACTTCCCTCAGTTTCCCCAGCTACTCAATGAGGTAATAGTACCTATGTATGCAATTGTAGAGAATGAATGAGTTAAAACTGGTTAGTGCCACCCCAATAAGTTAAAAAAATACATGTAGAGTGGTAAGTATAGCTACATTCTCAAATATTAGCTGCCATTATTTTTAGAGGCTGTGAAGGTTATGCATTAATGAGGTTAATAAGAAGGCCTTTTTCAAAGCCCGCTACTGCCCTGCCATGCACAGTGCACCTGAGGGGTGATACCACCAGCGCTGGAGCATCAGGTGATGGACTGGCAGGGAGGGTACCTGGGTCTGCAAAAGGACTCTGAGCAGACTTAACCATGAGAGGTCTGGGTTCCCGCCCTAGCACCGCAGACACTATGCAGCCTTGTGGCAAGATACCAAAGGAATTCATGCTTCTGGCCACACTGGCTCGTTCACATACAACAGATGTGCCTCACTTACCAGGCTCTGGTTGTCTGGCAGCATGACGATGATCTGTGCATTGTGATCCCAAATCATTCGCCAGAAGTCTTTCGTAGTATGTGGCAGAGGATGCTGGGTTATTATAAATTCATTACTCCTGTAATAGCCCTTTGGTTAGAAAGACAAACAGTTAGTGATTTATGAGCATTTTATTCTAACTTTGCAGAAGTAAAACACATTCATGAAACAAGGTAAGCACTGCTGGGACCGTTGAAATAATTGGGGGGGAAAGGCATTCAGTGCATTTGGCTAATTTTTAGATGCACTTCTGCTAACATGTGTAGACAATTTTCTCTCCATGTACAATTCACTTCTAGTGGCCCCTGCTGTTTTTACTTAACAGTAATTTCAGCATTTATTTAAAAACGAGATGGGTGGAATTAACAATAAAATTAATTCCTTAACAAGCGCTTTTCTTAGTTTAAGCATTTTTGTGCTCCCAACGATTAGAAGTCTTTTGTTAGAGGTTCCAAGACACGGAAATCTCTCTAATTTTGATATTACAACGTTGAGAAATTCTTTGAAAAATGCAATCAGTCACATAGGTGGCATCTGCTCTTTAGCACCTTTCAGTTTAAGTGGCTCTATTTATAATTAACGGTTGACTCTCACCATGATGTAAGAAGCATTAATGTAATCTGTTCCTTTCATTCCAGGCAACGGTGCAAGGCCCACTCGAGCGCGCTCAGCTGTCACAGGAGAAAACAAAACGCCACATTTGCCTGTTACACACATGGAACCACCAGCACGTCCTAAACTTTCCCGGTAACATCCTCCTGGCTCCCCCTTCTTTTTAGCCACGCTAAAGTGTTATAGCTTAGCAGCATGTAAAATGTGCTCCACATCCCCAGGACATGGGCAGTGTGGGAATAGTTGTGCTGTGAAAATGCCTCCCACGGTAAATCACTGATACTCTGGCAGAGATGACAGGTTTCAGATCAATTTTTTTTCTGGTTTCATAGTCCTACAACTGCACCACTGTATCCTTTAAATTTCTTTATTGATTAAGGTATCACATATTTGTCCTCATCCCCCCATTCCAATCCTCCACCCATCCCCCTATTGTCCTTGACCACTGGTTAGGCTCATATGTATGCACACAAGTCCTTTGGTTGATCTCTCCCTTTTATCCCCACCCTCCCTTTGAGGTCCAACAGTCTGACCCATGGCTCCTTATCTCTGGGTCTGTTCTTGTTCACCAGTCTATGTTGTTCACCATTTCCCCTAGATGAGTGAGATCATGTCCTACTGGAAATATACTTATAAGAACCAAAAATGAGACAAGCAATAATGGTTATGCTGAAAGGCAACTGTTGGCCCAGAAAGAAACTCACTATAGACTGATTCATTTGTACCACTGTATCTTACTTCACTCTCCCCATGAGGGGCTTAAAACACAGTGGCCTTTCCCAGTGGAGATCATCTCTCCAATGATCGCTTGTGTCCTGAGTTATTTATACAAAGGTCACTGCCGAGCAGCAGTGCTTTGATCTCAACAGGAGACTACTTCTGTGGTCCAGTCATCACTGTGCAGGTTCATCTTGGGAACCCAAGTGCTAAAGGAGTGTTAATGCCACAGTGATAACCACTTTACTTCTTTATAGTTAAGTGACCTAGTTCTTGCATTTTGAGATGAATTGAAACTAGGCTTCATGTCATGCTGCTGCAGTGACTTGCTGGCACTGAGAGCCAGCCAGCCAGCCCTCCCCAATTTGACCCAATAGCTTTTGCTGTCCTGCGCCTAACCTTTCCTAGGGAGTATCCGGTTCATATTATTACTACGTAATATCCAATAAAAAAGACATAGCACACCCAATCAAATCAAACTGTAGGATCTTACATGGCACTACCGAAGAGTTTCTGTTCTTTTCTTTGTTGCACTCTTTCTGAGCACTGAAGCATTCCACGTATTTTGCATTACACTGTGTGACCAGCTGAAAGAAAAACCACATTTTAGTCTTCATTCGAGGGCAGAGTTGTGGACATGCAAACTAACCTTGTTGTGATAATCATTTCACAATACATATGTTCATCAAAATACCTTGAACTACAATGTTAAATTTTACCAATAAAGGTAAAAAATATATATAAAACAAACAATAAAGTATAATTGATAGCATTTGCCCGATGATCTGGGGGGGAAAAATGCCAATAATCAGATTACTACCTAGCAGATAATTTAGAAACTAGGAGAGTATTTTTTGTGTCACGAGTGGTGTTTCTCTATATTATCTTGGTTGTCTGTATGCTTATTTCTTCTACCAGGGGTTTGGCTCCTTTGTGATAGGTACTAGATAATAGATATTCATTGAGTGAATGTGGATTTTTTTTCCTGTTGATGTCTGTTGATGTCATTGGTTTTGTGAAATTTTTTTCTTGGAATTCTTCAGATACAAGAGCTATGCTAAAAAGCGCTAATCAATTTCTCAAAGAATTGACTAAGTTCTCAGTAAATTTTTGTTGAACTTAACTGACATTTTTGTAAGATTGTTATAATTAGCCCAGTAGTTTGGTTATTCTTTCTGTTTATATAAATTGGTTGAACCACTTTATCATATATATATATATATATATATATATATATATATATATATATATGGTACACACACTCTAGCTCATGTTAATAGAATACATGGGAATGGCCTCCTCCAAATACTAATGTCAAAGGCCCTGGATGTTGTTAGGTTTCTGATTCTTATTTTTCCCCCTTCAAGTTCTAAAGTGGTTAGTGCCTGTAAAAGGTCCAATTACCTGGCTCCCAATGGAATGAACGGATTTCTTTGATGAATTTTTAAAAAGAGTACATGTACTGCACCAACACTGTAATAGGTATGAAATGGTTTCCTGTGGTTTTTTATTTCCATTTCCCTAAAGATGAATCATGTAGAGCATCTTTTCATGTGCTTATTGGTCATTTGTATATTTTCTTTGATAAAATGTGTATTCAAAACTTTTGCCCATTTTTGATTGAGTTGTGAGAGCTCTTTGTACATTCCGGACACAAGTCTTTTGCCAGAAATATGGTTTGGAAAAAAAAAAAAAGTACATGTAAAATATTACAGAAATATGCCGAAACCGGTTTGGCTCAGTGGATGGAGCATCAGCCTGCGGACTGAAAGGTCCCAGGTTTGATTCCGGTTAAGGTAAGGGCATGTACCTTGGTTGCGGGCACATCCCCAATAGGGGGATGTGCAAGAGGCAGCTGATCGATGATTCTCTCTCATAGATGTTTCTAACTATCCCTCTCTCTTCCTCTCTGTAAAAAAATCAGTAAAATATATTTTTTAAAAAAAATAAAATATTACAGAAATAGAAAAGGCAGCATTTAAGAAATGTTGGTATTTAATTATTTTTCAGGAATTCATTTTAAACATTTAAAGTGAGACACTAATTACCTCAAATGGTTTCTAGAGTACTTTGGATGTTATGGAAGGAGAGCTAGAAATATGAAATTGTTATGACTGAACTCTGAAATTAATCTTCCTCACTTCGCATCATTTGCTATAAATTGCTTGGCTGTCTCCTTTCTTTAGAGTCACATGAAGGTTTTAGAGTCTACGAAAGTTTTACCATGAAAACCAAAACGGTACAGATTCACCTCATTCTTTCCACCTTGATACAAAATGAGAAATTACAAATGGAACAGTGTGCAAAAAAAGAGAATTTAAAAGACTGACAGACTCGGAAATAGAAAAGCACTTAGAGATTAGAGAGACAGACAACAATGGAAAGTTATAATAAATCCTTTGAAATAACAGCTTTTCTGGTCTTAATTATATTAACAGCCCTTATAAACGATAGTCAATTCCATCTAAACCTTAACTGCCTTTAAATTTCATGCGCTTTCAAAGAAAAAAGAACAACCGTTTAGGAAAGGTTAACTTTTCTCTAGTAGTATTTAGAAGCTTTTTCCTAGTTTCTAAATTATCTGCTAGGACAGTCTTCAATAACTGTTCAGAATAAGGATAAGATAGGGAAGGGTAGTTTTCAGACAGTGCGGACTGAGTCCAAAGCATTATGTCACTGTGGGCAGGGGCTGGTGCCCATGTTCAGATAAAGTTATAAATTGTTCAGAAGAAAATACAGCACCGCACTACCTACTTGGGCCCAACAATGCACACAGAGGTAAAACCTTGTATTTCTTTGCATTACACTTGAGAATAAACAGTAATCCATTGTAGTATGTATGTTCATGCAAAAAAAGACATGACCCCAAACTCGTGGCATTTTCTTAATTCCTTGCTTTTTTTTTTTTTTTTTTACCAAAGAAATGTATGAAAACGCTACCTTGAACTGTTTTTCCAGTCGTGTCTTTCCTCCTACGCCTGGTATGAGGATGCTGTTTACATAGCTATGCAGTTGATTTGAAGATACTTCAGTCTCTTTTCCAAGAATGGCTTCCAACAAGGCATCATGGATGAAAATGTACTGCTCCTGACAGGCACAATATACGGCAGTCACTGAGTGGGGCCGCTAAGGGGTGGCCACCTGTACCCCATCCCTAAAATCCACCTTGGAGGAGCTCTTTCCTTCGCAGGGACCTCCCCCTGGATTTCTCCAAGCATTTACCCCTCTCTGGTTTGCCCCATACTGACTTGCTTATCCACTGTAACTCCGTTTAGGGTAAGACTGTGCTGAGCGTAGTTCTATCCTCCCTACCAGGCCCCAAACGACAGGTTCAATGTAGCACGCGATGGAGAAATGGGAGTTCAGTGAAGGACTTTAGAACCGTTCTTTCACATCCTATCCATCTATTTTCCACTTTCCACAGCCCTAGTTCCCACTGAGTTGGTTACATCAGTGCTTGTGTAGTTGCTGAGCATTCCACATTTAATTCCATCCACACAGGAATGGAAAACGGGGAGCCCAAGAATAGCATCACGGTCAGGACCCCTTATACTACAAACCGGTGAATTCTTTCAGGCCCCGAGAGAATGAATCTGTCTCCTCCATCCTGTTCCACGCCCCGAGCTTGCAGCCGGCTTACCTCCGTCTGGACGAGGTAGTTGCGCTGCGTCCTGATGTGCTTCAAGAAGCCCAGGACGTTCACTGTGCTTTTGTCTTTGATCTGCTGCAGCATGCTGTCGATCACGATGTAGGTGCCCGTCCTGCCCACGCCGGCGCTGGAAGAGAGGAGACGCTTGGTGGGACCTCTTGCTTTCCCATGTCAGGAAGTGCGATGGGAAAATTACCACCTCACGCGCCAATGAGCACAGAACCGCCCTGTTGTTTAGACACGTTACTCATCCTGATGGCATCCAAAGAGTCTGAGGACAGGCCCCACTTCTTGAGTCTCGATGGGGACACAGCCTGCCTTCCCACCACAGGAGCCCCAGGCAGTGGTGACCTGGCTTTCCCGGCCTCCCTGGTGGTCAGCCCCACAGCTGCCGCAGCAGGATGGGGAGTGTCCCTTGCTGGTTCGGCCTGTGCCTGGTTCCCCAACGCTCCCCATTATTCTGTGGGTGCCCACTGTCCTTTCAGTAAATCCTCTTTCTGCCCAATGCTCCTTGCCAGTATTAGAAAGCTCCTATTTAAAGGGGTGCTTTCCTTTAATAAGCCATAAGAATGTCAACATCCAGAAAATCTGGCCTCCTCTCCACATTTCTTTTTTGTTGTTGTTAAAAATGGGAAGATCTAAGCCCTGTGTACTGAGTAGCAAGTACTAGGGTACTTCTTTAGGCAGTACCCACAGCCGGTCACCATCTCACACTAGTGTGTGACACCCCCCCCCCCAAGCCCTCGATAGCCGTTCATCTCTATTGTAGTGATTCCTAACTTGGGTAGCAAACATTCGAGTTCTTGTGGGATTTTAAACAGAAGGTGTGTTCCAACTTCTGCAAAGGACCTTGCAGAGCATGAGAACAGCTCAAACAAGTACTAAGAAAATGCTGTGCAGCGAGGAATGTAAATCCCAGCGAAAGCAACATCTGCCTGAATACCAAAGTAAAAAAAAAGGCCAAGAATACAATTACAAATAAAACTCAGCAAGAGCACCTTCTCAACAACCAAGTAAGGCCATTTAAGGAAGTGCAGGAGAGAGAATGGGCTTCCCCAGTGCTTTTGAAAAGCTTAAGAAGCACATATAAACTCAAGTTTTGAAAATATAATCCTTTCATACACTGTAATTACTTCATGGAACTCACAAGAAAAGCCGTAGACAGAAACTCAAAATCTCCGGGGTGGGAAGCTGTAAAATTGTGTTTAAGGTCAGATTTTTAGATATGAACAGCCTGCAGCTTCTCTATACATAATGGAGATTTTATTAATTCAATCATGTTACACAAATCAAAGTTTATAAGAGTAGACTTTGTTTTAACCTTAAAATAAGCAGATGTTTTCTTAATACTATGGGAATATCTCATGTAACAGTTCTTACTGGTCCCCGTCTTCGATGAAGACTCAGTTTCTAAATCAAACAGCAGCAGGACCACAGCGGTCCGGATTCCCAAGTGCACAGCCCTGCTCTGCCCACTGTGCAGGGCGTCCAGGAGGAGGAAGGAAGCCAGGCCTACCTGCAGTGCACCAGCACCGGGCCCATCTCTGGCATGCGGGCGGCCGAGGACCTCCGCACGAAGGTCAGGACGGGGAGGGCGTACTCGGGGACACCCATGTCAGGCCACTGCGTGTAGTGGTACTGGATCACCACCCTCTCGTTCTGGCGGCTCTTAGGATTTCCCTTCTGGCCCTAGAGAAAGGCGAACACAGACATCTTTACACTGAGTGTGAGCATGCTGGGTAACAGGACCTCTGGCCTCGTCCGCCCCAGCTGCTGCTCCTGGCCCGGTTATTTCCTCTCTGTGGCATCTCCTGCCATAAATGGAGACATTTTCCCAGCTGGGCAAGAAGTATCAGACATCCCTTAGGAGAAAGAATGGTTTAGGATGGTACCAAGAATGAATGCTTAAAATCCGTTTTTTGGGCTTAAAACCATACAAAGCACTTTGTAACTTGCCACGGCCTCATTCCTGACTTCCTGCCCTGCCTCCAGAGGCCTCCTCGTGCCTTGCTTTCCGCTGACATGGCCACAACCTCCACTTTTGGTCCACGCCCAGGGGGACCTTCAGGAGCTCAAGTGCGGGTGGACCCTGAGTGACAACTGAGTCTCAATCTCTATAAATTTATCATTTTATAAATTAACTAGAGGCCTGGTGCACAAAAATTCATGCCCTCTGGTGGGTCCCTCAGCCCGGCCTACACCCTCTTGTAGTCTTGGAACTCTCAGGGGATGTGCGACTGACAGTTTAGGCCTGCTCACCAGCCAGCACTATCCCCCGGGGAGTGGGCCTAAGCCACAGTCTGGCTTCCCTCTGTGGCCAGCGACTGGGCAGGCTGTGGCTGGCCCTGCCCCAACTCGCCCTGCTGCCATCACAGGTGGCCTCCCTCTGAGGGAGGCAGCCCCGGCAGGCCAATTGGGGGATGGTGACATTCCCTCCCTCTGCCTGCTGGCACCTGCCTAGGCTGGCCTGGCCCCACTTCTGCTCGCTGACCCCACCCTTCCACTCTTTGGTCAATTTGCATATCACCCTTTTATTATATAGGATTTTTAAAATGTATTTTTATTGACTTTTTACAGAGAGGAAGGGAGGGAGAGAGAGAGCTAAAAACATCGATGAGAGAGAAACATCGAACAGATGCCTCTTGCACACCCCCTACCGGGGATGTGCCTGCAACCAACGTACATGCCCTTGACCGGAATCGAACCTGGGACCTTTCAGTCGCAGACTGATGCTCTACCGCTGAGCCAAACCGGTTTTGGTTATATAGGATTTTTTAGAGTACTTTTCCTTTAAGCGGCTGAACTTTTTACATTTTAACTACTTTAGATAAAAAATTTCCCCAAACACATTACTTACTATGATACTGCTTTTCTTATATACCTCTAAAAACTAAAAAAACACAAATGAACAAAGCACAACGAAAAGGTTTGCTGGCTCAGGGTCATTACTAAATCAGCACTGCAGCCTGCGGGGTGCATGGCCCTGTGCTACAACCCCCTCCCCCCCAATGGCTCTGATTTCTTAATTCTTCTGTGAACTCTCATTTTCAATTACTACTTTATCCTCTTATCAGTGAGCAAAACATCTGAAGTTCTTATGTACGTCCTCCTCTGACTTACGCTGTTCCTAAAATTAAGAGCGAGTGGGCCACGTTTAAATTCCGGAGGGGTTTCCCTGAGTAATGGGCTTTGCAAGTATAAATGGACTGCTGGCTTGCACCGGCTCAGTTCTAGCAGAGAGAACACAGATAAGGCGGTGCTGCTGACTTTTATATACTCGGCCCTTCTTGGGGGAAAAACTAAATGAAGAAAGGACTCCATAACCTTGGTCCCCAGATGGTCTTCAGAGCAACTGAAACTGTATATAATCATTTGAATAAATGAATTCTTCTGGAGTAAGGGGGCTACAGCTCTATTATTCTCAACGATGTCCAAGACTCAAAAAATAAAATAAAATATAAATTGGTCAAGAACCACTGCTACAAACAGCCAATACTCAGAGTCTCCACAGAGTAACTGGTCCACGTTCTCCATGGGCATCGGCCCAGAGGACCAGCACTGCTGTCCTGATCGGAGTCTCGCTGTGGAGTTTGAACGTCCCGAGACTCACACCCCGGGGAAAGGCCGCCCTCAGGTTATCCGTTCCTCTTGCCCACCCTCCGCCGAGCAAACCAAAGTGAAGCGGGTCTCTCCACTCCAGCCCTCTGACCACTGGTGCCGCTGGCCCTTTCTAAGGGGGATAAGGGTTATGTAGCATTGGTTTGCCACACTTATTAGTAGCATCCTGTAGGCTTAGTGCTCCTTGAAAGCTATCAGAAAATTGGAATTAAAAAGCTAACACAAGCTCTGGCCGGACTGGCTCAGTGGCTGGAGTGTCAGCCATGGACTGAAGGATCCTGGGTTGGCTTCCGGTCCAGGGCATGTGCCGGCTGCAGGCTCAGTCTCCAGCCCTGCTGGGGGACAGGTGTGGGAGGCAACCGATAGACATGTCTCTCTTACATCGATGTTTCTCTCTCTCTCTCTTCCCTTCCCTCCCACTCTTTCTGGTGAGGATTAACAACAAAAGCAAAGCAAAACAAAAGCTAACACAGATGCTGAGGTATCTGATGTAGCTACCAAAACCTAAGAGGGCCTTTTCTAAGAGGAAGCTTTCTTCAGAAAGAGGTTAAAGAACTCGGCCAGTGAAACCCTATTCTGTGCTCTGCCAACATCTTCCACACCACACAGTGGTGACAATCAAAGAGTTGTGAATAACATGCTTTAAAATACTCTCAAAAACCCAAACTGGCTATGAGAACTGGCCTTGGTCGTGCGGTCATTTCTGTGCAAGTTTATAAAGAGCCGCCTGGCAGCCCCCTCCCCCGCCGCCTTGATACCTTCTTCACTTTGGCGTTTCTGACTGAGAAACGGCGGACGGTGTAGCAGGCGTGGACTTTTGTGCTCTTCAGTGTGACAATAATGTTGCCATACTCCTCACTGTTCTCTGTCGGCCAATACTGATCACATTTTCGCTGGGAAAAAAAAAAAAAAAAAATAAAAGGAAAAAAAGAGTTGTAAATGGCATATGCCATTTTTGCCACAATTGTACTGTTGATAATGTAACTTCAAGAGACAGCGTTGAAGTGCAGGTAGTAGTACCGCATGTAGCGACAGAAAAGGAACTCCCGGACTGCAAGCCACGGGCCGGCAGGACCTCTGAAGAGGTTCCTCTTGGACGAGATCACTAGAGAAACCATCATCTTTCATTCAACACATGACGTACTACCAAGCAGACTCAAGAAGAGATGTGCAAGTTGCATGGGGAGGGATGAAGGAGCTGGAGGAAGGCGCGGCCGCGCGTACCGCTGGGGCTGCCCAAGGCCACACGGGACTCTGGCAGCCAAAGCGGAGCTGCAGTGATCCGAGCACCGAGCAGGCAGCTTAGCGCTCATCCCAGCCCAGAGCAGCACCATCGGCTGGGAGTTCATCACCTAACGCGCCAGAACATGGACCATCACCTTGCAAAAGGTTCCTGTAAAGCCAACCCGGTGCTAAGGCGGTCTCCTCACCTCCCTGTCTGAACTGTTACTGGTTCTCTGGCTGCACTGCTTTTCCCATTCCCTTGCTTCTGTTCTCTCCCCCCAACATGTGTCCGCCCTCCTGTCCGTGTGCAACCCTCCTCCTCACTCACTGTTCAATCTCACTTCAGATACTGGTTTCCTTACACAATGTCTGTGCGAGAAGACACAGCCGTCCGTTTCCAGCATCGCCCCAACACCTCTCCTCTCGTTTCCCAGGTGACCCGTGCCTACCACCCCGCACCAGAGCACGGCCAGGGGAGGGCAGGGACGCTACTGTTCCTATAACCCCATGCCTGGTCAAGACCCTCTGCCCCCTCCCCCTAACCCCCTCACACAGCAGGTGCTCCATAAATACAGTTTTTGAACAAGGATATATGATTAAGAGGGCTCTTACTCTTCCTTTTTCCACAAGGTTTGTAATCATGATGATGATTCCAGTGTTTTGTTCCCAAATCATCCTCCAGAAATCTTCAAACGTAGACTTCAAAGGTCCTTGGGTGGCTATGTAGGCTTTTGCTTTGTTGTAACCCTGCGAAGACGACACAGCACAAAGTCAGACGCAGGCGGTGTCACAGAGCAGCTACCTCAGGTGCCAGCCACGCAGGACAGGCTGTGCTGCTAGTGAAGGCTCTGGGCACCATCACACACGCCCGAACCCTCCCGGCCTCTCCGATGGTCAGAAACAGGCATTAAAAACAGTTGGACTTACATCGACATAGTTTGCATTAATGTAGTCGCTGTGCTTAGAGTCTTTTCCCGGTAGAGGTCTTAACTTCACCCTGCTGTGATCATCTGTGGAGGACAAGAAAACAGGAGAGCAAACCAAAATGTACATTCCGGAAGCAGCAGCATTCTGGAGCACTAAACAGGCCAACAGGTTCTGTGGCCTCTCCCAGAAGACCCCTGAAATCTTCTGTCAGAAGAACAAACATGAAAAGACCCAGCATCTGAACCTCACGGGAAAAAACTCAACCTAGTGCTCTGACCTGTGAGCGGCCCGCAATGCAGACTGAGGTCCTTGTTAGTTCACCTAACCCATTACAAGTTGCGAACCTCCAAAACGTCCTTGTCCTACACTTGAAAACCAACTTCCGAGGTCTTCGATTAACCCTTGCCCCCCTCCCCTCCCCATTACTACAAACATGAAAAAGTGATTGTTAGGAAACACAACAAAATTTTTGGGTAATGGGCATTCTTAAATGCATGGCTCAGACCCATGTTTTGGAAACAATCTCTGTTTTAAAAGAATGTACTTAGGAATGCTTTTGATTTTGATGAATCCACTATTACATTTTTTTACTGTGCTAATTTTTAAAAGTTCTCAGGTACTGTTGAATTATTTAGTTAAGTGTGGTATTGAAATGCAGTTATTTTAAAACTGGGGGGAAATCCTCTTATTGTACAGAATATTGTCTCTGCAATATTTTTGTATATAGTAATTTTTTGTTCTATCAAGTCCACAGCATCTATTTTCAGCAGTTTTCACGACTACATTAAATCGGAGTCCCTGCCACCCCAGAGCTTACGCCATGGAGGGAGCTAGAGCCACCTGTAAGGGGACTGTCCTTGCAGGGCTCTGAAGTCAATGACCAGATTTTAGGATCCACTTAACATTAACTGTGACCAAAAGGGGGTGATGCTATGTGCCTCTAGTTGTCCAACAGAGTGAGCTTGTGATTTTTTAGGGTAACAAACTGAATGAAATAAAGCTGAGGTCATAATTTTATTTTCCCTAGCTAGAAATGGGCAAAGCCAATTTACATTTCTGTGTATAGTCATGGCCATCCAAAGCTAGTTCAGAAAGAAACCCAATGAATGGATTAGCCCAGACACTGACTGTATCAAGCACCTTTTGAAAGCTGTCTACCTTCTGGGAACTGTGAATTGCTTGTTCTGACAAACTCAGACTACAGTTGACATGAACAGGGCTGCCTGATAGAAATAGGCCCCGAATGAAAAATTTCAATAAGGCACCTGGATACAAATTGTTCTGGGTTCTTAGCATTATATTGGCAATTATTTCTCAGAGGGACAAATAAAAAAAATCCTTCAAGTGGCAATTTCACATTTAATTAATAAGGTAATAGAATGGTTTAGCAGATCAATGCAGGAGCTGGCGTGCTGGCACTTACATTTACCTTAAAAGTTGTGATGCTTTGTGAGAATGTTGTTTTTCCAGCACATTCAAGGCCAAACTTTACTTGTTCCATGACATTCCCATGCTACTACTCTCTGCTATGCAGAGGTATTAACATAGGGGTAGACCAAGCTGATCAGTGATATGCCCAGAACCTGGCCAAATGGCCAGGCGAACACCAAAACCCAGCTCTCTAAACTCAAGACAGTGGAACCACATGTGATTTGAATTTGTGCAAATAAAATCACAATGGACCTGTGAAAGTATAACCACATCTAACTGGAGACGGTGGTTTTCCAGCAAAACCAGGACCCTTGCTCACGTTATACAGAAATTGCTTTGATTTCCTCCCTTTGCTTTGGCACATATGTTTAGCCAAGACAGTGAGGCCATTGGAAGTAAAGATAGCTGTGGTGGAGAGCAGTCATATGAGCTATAAATCCTCACAATCTCAGCACAATGAGCCTTGACTGGATTGGCCAACAAATACTGCCAGAGCCAATTCGCTCAAGGATGGAGAGAAAAAAAAAGTTTGACCCTTCTTCCTTATTCTCTTGTTTACCTGCTCCTTCTCTCAGATAACTGAAACAGATGCTCTTTATATAAAAAAAAAAAAAAAAATGACCTGTAGTTCTTTTAAATCTTTACCTAGAGGAAGAAGTAAAACTACTTTCATAGATAACACAATCTTGTATTTAGAAATTCTAAGGAATATACACAAAAATAACTATTAGAACTAATAAAATAGTTCAGCCACAGTTGTAAGACACAAAATAAACATCCAAAAATCAACTTTCTATATATTCAGTGAACAATCTGAACATAAAATTAAGTAGACAATTCCATTCATAACAGCATGAAAAAGAATAAAATATCCAGCAATATATTGCATAAAAATGTAGCACCTTTAAAATGCAGACTCTAAAACATTGTTGAAAGAAATAAAAGATGACCTAAGTAAATGGAAAGACATCATATCTTAATGAATTGAAAGACTATTGTTAAGATGGCAGTGCTTCCCAAATTAATCTACAGATTTGATACAATCTATATCCAAATCCCAGCTATGCTTTTTCTTATAGTAATAAGCTGATCCTTTAGCCAATTCACATGGAAACACAAGGGACCCAGATTAGCCAGGGGAAAAATCTTGAAGAACAAAGTTGGAAGACTCATGACCTAGCTATTGCATTCCTAAGTGTAATCCCAAGAGAATTAAAGATATATGTCTACTCAATACCATATATATAAATGTTTGTAGCAGCATTATCATAATAAAAATAATACAAATGTCCATTAAATGATAAACGAATAAGCAAAACATGGTATATCTATAGCACAGAGTATTATTTTTAAGGACGACTTAAATACTGACACAGCTACAACACGGATAAATCTTAAAAACATCATGCTATGTAGAAGAAGCCAGGCACAGAGGGCTACATGTTGTCTGATTGCCTTTATATAAAATGTCAACATAGGCAAACCCATAGAGACAGAAAGTAGGTACATGGTTTCTAGGGATTAAGGGGGAATTAAGAGGGAAAGGGATGAACTGGGCGTGGCCGGGTAATGGGTGCTAAGAATGTTCTATAATAGATAGCGGTGATGGTCACACAACTCTGACTCCTCCAAAAAAGCATTGGAAAGTAAACTCGCTCTAAATGGGTGAATTTAATGGTATGTGAATTATATCTCACGGAAGTATTACAGGCTCCAGCACTGTTCAAATTTAAGTGGTCCAATTTAAGTGCACTATTACATAAAACTCTATAATCCGTTCCTTACCATCATGTGTGTTCACCATAAACATCTTTGCTCCTGCCCTTAATAGCACAGCATATATTATCTGCCAGTGACCCAAGCACAGACATCTACGAAAAGTGGCAGTCTGGCCACTGAATTGTCCTAGCCGGTTTGGCTCCGTGGATAGAGTGTCGGCCTGCGGATTGAAGGATCTCAGGTTTGATTCCAGTCAAGGGCACATGCCGAATTGCAGGCTCAATGTCCAGTGGGGGCCATGCAGGAGGCAGCTGATCAATGATTCTCTCTCAGCACTGATGTTTCTATCTCCCTCTCCCTTTTTGAAATCAATAAAAATATATTAAAAAAAAAAAAAAAAGAACACTTATTTGAGTCTGGGATCTTCAGGATACTCTTGACCCCGGAAATACGTTGGATAGGACTAAACACATGGGTCACGAGGACTGGAGGCTCACACCTTAGGGCAGAGACCAATCGCCTAGTCTTAGAAAGACGGCTTTGCAAGTCAACTTACTTGATTCAATTTCAGAATTTTTATTTGTATTAAAAGATTTGGCTCTAACTGGTTAAAACAATGTCAAGATAGCGACAATTTTTGGTTTCACACATGGAATCACATGTGAAAACAGTGAAGCTCAGAACATTTCCTTTTAATCATCTTATTATTAAGATTAATGAAAGAGATCCTACAGCTTAATGGAAGACTAAGGGGGCAGAAAATGTCCCCATCTCTTCCCGGGTCCCGTTGAAGGCGGTGAAGGACAGATAACAGGGTAGTTCTTTGCTGGCACCCTGATTCTGACTGCCTGGCTTTCAGCTTATACCCGGCATGAAGATTTAGTCTCCTTGCAGTTGAAGGGAGCTGGAAGTGGATCACTCACATGCTAAAATGTTGATGTATCTGTTTTTGTGCTTGTTGTCGGGATGATTGGAATGTTCTGCGGTGATGTTCATGTCAGCCGTACAGCGTTGGACTTCCTAGTGAAGAAAGCACAAGATTTCAGGGTTTTAGACACATTGAGCAACAAGCACAAAGCATTCTCTCAGTCCCTAGGCACTGTCACTGCCACCTCCCCAAACAACTTCAGAAATAATCAGTTCCTAACAAAGGTAGGCATTCATATCTTGTGAACAAGATAAAAGGATTTCATTCTTTATTAACTCATCAATCATCTCCTTTAATACATTTTTGTAAGTTGTCCTAGACTTACAAAAGAGTATCTCTTTTTAAATTTGTCACAGTCTCACGGGGGAGAAAACCATGCAAAAAGATGATAGTCCAGCGTGATTAACAGAAGAGAGACCTGACAAAATTAGGGTCGGAACACGGAGGAATGTCAGGCGGGAGGTCATTCACGGGCCCTAAAGAATGAGCCAGCATTTCCCAGGCAAACGTATAAAGCTCCACCATGAGTTGCAATATGCTTATCAATTATATAGTCTCATTTAAAATTATTTATTTGAGAGATGGGGGAGGAAAGGGTAGGAGGAGGGAAGGAAAAGGATAGGGAGAGAAAGGAGAGGGGGAGAGAGAAAGAATTGATTTGTTTCACTTATTTATACATTCATTAGTAGCTTCTTGGATGTGCCCTGACCAGGGATCAAACACACAACCTTGGCGTATTGGGACGATGGTCTAACTAACTGAGCTACCTGGTCAGGTCTACATAGCCTCATTTTATAACTTTCAGATTGCAAATGGATTATAATGGCTCAGTTCTGAAATGACACTGACATATAGCCCAGTCGTCATATCTGGCTCAAATATATGTCTCTGGTAATTATTTGCGAACTCTAATATTATTTAAACCATCCTTCTTTAGAAAAACAGCAGAAACAGCCATTCTCCTTGGCTAGCTGTGCCATGGGTCTAAACATCACCCACGAGCCTAAACCAGAGTGCTGAAAAGCCAAGTTCTTCTACACTGTTACGCTTCCACCCCAAGCAAGTGCTGGAGCCAGCTAGTGAGGGAAGGTCCTTGGCAGCGAGGAGCACAGAGGCCAGATCAGCAGGAGGCGGTTTCCACACGGCGCTGTAATAGCGTTTAGAAGCACACAGACTTCCTGTCACGGAGGAGCTGCAGGGCGATTGTAAATGTTTTCCAGTGTTTACGGCGGGCAGCACGCACACATGCCTTGCACGCTCACAGAGGACTTCCGGTGACGAGGCCTCCCTGCTCCGAGGAGGAACCCACTTTAGTCAAAGCAGCGCCAGTGGACAAGCAAAGGGGCGCCATCTAGTGCGAGAGACCACACTCACGGCTCCTGGTTCTGAGATGCTGTAAACGGAATTTTTCATAACTGTGGGCCCTCCCAGTTGTCCATTAAAAAAAGAATTCAACACACTCCTCCCTGTGTTTCATGACAATGCTTACCCTTTTCTTACTCTTATTTAAAAAAAAAAAAAAAAAAAAAAAAAAAAAATATATATATATATATATATATATATATATATATATATATATATATATTGATTTTTCTTTTACAGAAAGGAAAGGAGAGGGAGAGCGAGCTAGAAACATCAATGAGAGAGAATCATCAACCAGCTGCCTCCTGCACATCGCCATTGGGGATTTGCCCGCAACTAATGTACATGCCCTTGACTGGAATCAAACCTGGGACCTTTCAGGCTGCAGGCTGCTATCCACTGAGCCAAACCGGTTTTGGCTCTTTTCTTATTCTTATTAAGTGTGATAAAATCTGATAATTCCTATTCTAGTGGTTTATAACCTATGGCTTGCCAAATACTGGTTTAAAGAGGCTGCCTTCGGCTCTTTTCCCTAAAACGAGGTAAAGTGTTGGGCACAGAGCGAGGAGTCTGAGGTCTCAACATAGACAAGAGCACAGCGATGTTCGCCCACTCTGCGCATCTGGTTAGCTGGGCCTTCAGAATGGCCTAGAAAGTCCAGGGAGATACTCTTCCGAACAGTATCAGGGCAGAGAGCCTTTGAAAATGAATCAGTCTTCCGGAAAACATGATTTCCGTCTATGCACAGATCCCTAAACCACGTGACACCTTTGCTTCTGGGTTTGGAAGGTCATGGGCTGGCGTGTGCCTCTGCAGGGCTGAGCTGCTGACACAGGGTGCTAAGAGACCCCAGCTTCCAGTGCTTCGTTTGCTGGTGTTTTCCCCTCACTGTGTAAGCCTGACCACCCCAGCCATGGACCGCGGTTGAGCCTCTAATATAACGTAATGCAATTGACCGACCCTGCTTGGGAGCAGCTGTCTGTGCTGCTTACAGCAGCCATCTGATATGGCCAATCAGATTCGTCGTTGTCTGAAACCCTCCATTCGGATCCGTTGCCTCTGTTTCACTTTTCCAATTATGTGGATGACAGAAAACAAAGAATAGTCATAAACATGTTAGATCTGATTTTATTAGAAACTGGGGCGTTTGCCTGAGGCCTTGTGATTTTGTCTTGTTAATAGTGATGTCATCTGTAATTCCTTGCAGTGCTGCCTGGCTCACTCAGATGATAACACTGTCTGATCTCCGAGAGCGGTTTTCCCCGTCAGAATTTGCATTCCAAAGTCAGTGTGGTTTTAACAGGTGCTGAAACCTTCCAGGTGACAGTGGCGGATGGAGTGTGTGTGTAGGAAAGCTACCTACTTAGCCCTCTCACAAAAAGTTTAGGATTTGAGCTTGTAAGTATTTTACTGTCTACACAGCAAAGCTGGAATTCTCAAGACGACATCCTTAGCACTAAGAGGCACACAGCCACAGAAGACAAGAGATTTAAAATACGGTGGAACTTCAAAATTGAACAAACACACTAAGAGCTGATGGTCTCAGGATTCCTGGGAGGTGAAGCAGCATCACCCCCCTCTGCGTGGGGACCTGCTGTCCTGCCGTCGGAGGCACAATTGGAACAAATAACTGGACGAAAATATACCTGGACCTCTCTCGGCTGCCTCAGCGTCACAAGCAGGCCGAGGAGAGTGTCCGGGCCCCCTGGCCGGGGTGAGACCGAGCATGTACCGTTCTCGGGGCCGGTGTCAGCCAGCTGCTGGTCACGCTGCAGCGTCCCGCCTGCACTCCACTCAGGGCACAGGCTGCTGCCCACGATTTCCTTCCAACGCTGCCCTGACGCTGCATCCTCCCCTCAGAAGCCTGGGGGGAGGGGGGCGGGGGGGTGCCACTTTCCTAACCAGCCTCTCAGGGTCCCTCCTGCCCCTCACCAACCCCCTTCCCGTTCCCAGACGGTGTTAGCTCTGTGCCCTCTGATTCCTGTGCTTGGCTTCCTGCCACTTCCCTCGTCTCTAGCTCCCCATGCCGCCCTCTGCCCCCGCCACCCCGATGTCTAAGGAAGAGCGGGCCTCACGGCTCCAGAAAGCCAGCCCGTCTGTGAGCGTCACCGTAAGATAAAATGACCTCTTCTACGCCATTTGTGGAACTGGCTCACTCTTGTCTTACCCTTTTGTATGAACCTTAACTTAGTCATCCATGGTTTTCTTCAAAATAAGGCTTTAAAAATGCCTTTCTTCAGGACCTTTAGAATCCAAACTGGCATTTTGTCCCTGAGGCTGAGGAAACTCTACAGGGTCTTGCCCTGCGGGTGGCGGTCTGCCCGCATCACCCCCGTCCCCCCGATGGCCCGGCCACATGCACTCCGCGTCTCACATCAAGTGACTGGGCCGCCGGTCCCTCTGCGCAGGGACTCAGGTGGACACGGCTTTGTTCTCTGGGTTCGAGATGAGCAACGGGCCCACATGGGGCTCAGCTGGAGCTAATTGTCACCGAGGCGATGCCCCCGAGGATCTGGTCAAGGGTCCTGGGCCTCCGGCCTCATCCTGCACTCTCCTGCCCCCGCCTATTAATCCTGTCCACCCCAGGGCCCGAGCTCCCCTTAATGAAGGGTCACGCGAGCACTGCGCCCGAGGGGGCCCCTGGATGAGGACGGTGGGGCCCGGGAGACCGAGGCTGAAGCCGGCTCAGGCAGCCAAGGGAACAGAGTCACTGACCGCCCACCGAGACAATGATTGATGTTATGTCCAGTGACGCCAAAAGCCGCCAGAGGTATAACGTGGCCAGCCTCTCACTGGCTCGAAAATTTACCCAACGAGACAGAAAGCTGGCTTTCAGCATCACCAGAATGACCAGTGAGCCGTTTTTCTCATTCCCCCCCCAAGCAGCACAGTTCTGAGAATGTAACAGCTACTCGCCACATTTTTTCTCCCACTGCTGTCTATGATTTTTTAACAAGATGGGGCAAATAGCACTTTCGGTGAAATGCCCAATCATTCCACAGGGATCCGTTCTTCCGGACGCTGTGTCTGTGTGAGCACTTAGGTTGCTTGGCCCTCTGCCTTCACGGTGTACACGCCGGCCCGCACCCAGCACATTGAACTTGAGGGCAGGGCCGCTCTTTAACTCCCCCTTGTGCTTCATATTGTGGCGGAGATTACCAGGCACCCGTCCCTGTTACAGGAGCTGTTCTATTCTCAATGGCCAAATACCCACTGGCAGGTGGTATTTCTCTATACTCTTAAGGTTAGTTCTTTGATGTCAGGGCTTTATTCAGATGTTACTTCAGCCTGCGGGCTCGCTTCAGAAAGCCCGGGACTTAACCCCTATGGCTGTCATTTCAAACGAAGCCTCCCGAAGATTCCGTGTTCTCTGGGTCATTGTTCCTCCTCTGAAAATGGGGACAGTGAAGCAGCCCCCTCCTGGCTGGTCCCGAAGAGCGAGGCACCGGCTGGCCGTCACTCCCCGTGAGAAGACCTGGCGATCCGGGGTGAGGCGACTGCTCCCTTACCATGATGAGGGTTTGTGTTGTGTTTTTAAAATCACACACGATCTCCTTTCCTGGCCTTCCTTGTATAGCCCATTACGATTTCCCGTTCCTAAGCACCTCCTTCCACGGCCTGCTACCAGTTTTCCTTTTCATCAGGGCCGGCCAAAAGCAATGCTATTACTGGGTTTAAATACTGCCCATCGCCCCTGCGTTAGAAGCCGGCAGTGCATCCCTGAGGTCTCGTGCTCTGTCTCATTCCCCTTCGCCTGGCTCCCTTTCTGTTCTCTTGAGAAGGAAGGAGATCCTCCTGTTCTGAGCAGCTCTGGTTTTCAACCTTTCAAACCAGTCAGACTGTGAAATGACACCAGCAGAACAACACCTGACCCCTCCTTCCCTCTTTGCCCCCTCTCCCTCCCTCACGATCTGCTCCTAAGATTTAACTCTAAAGTTCAACACAGGCTCCAAAAGCTGCTGGCCTCCGCCTCTTTTTTTTAGGCTAGAAATAGGGTGCAGATGCCCCGGATTTGATAACAGGCATGGTTCTGGGGCTGCAGCAAAGCCATTTTAAGTCCCATCAAGTTCACAGAGGTGTAGCTGATTGTTTTGAATAATTAAATGGTGTCGAAACCAGCTGTGATGAATAGCACTGGGGTCTCAAATCATAAATAATTGAGAAGCCGGAGTTGCATTTGATCATCCTGATCAGATTCTGTCCTCCGGAGGATAAATGTTTGTCCTGAATACCATCAACATTGTTAAACGCCTCCATATTCTGGCTCAGTCATCCGGCCAGCAGTCAATTGAACTAAATCACTCGAACACCACACACAGTCGCTGTCCTCATGAATACAAAGCGTCTAACTTTAAAACCACGCTCTCTGCAACTGAGGCGGCTCAGTTTTTGGGGGGGTGTCACATTACATACTTGAAGTGTTTTTATTTGTTCCATGAAACCCAGGGCGGGGCGGGGTGAAACCTCTCTACCACCTCTGCTTTGATACCAGCTCAGAAAACATAGCAGACCAGACGGACGCTAAGAGCAAGGCCTTCTTTCACCGGAGCTGTCGCTGTCACGGCCAGGGGATGGCCTTCGGATCGGAATCTGCAGAGACGGGCTCTGGGCCTCTTGCTCTGGCTCCTCGTCCACGCGAATCGCCACCCCTCCCAGCCGTGCGGTCCAAGAGAAGGTCACAGGGCTTGCCTTCCGTCTCTTCGTCTGACCCTAGTGCCCATTTCTGACAGGAGGCCGGCAGGTTAGCATCCTCACCGTCGTCGTCGTTCCGTTTCCAAGTGGAGACGAGACAGAGGGAGGAACTGACGTGTCCAGAATGCCAGGAGACAGCTGAGCCGCCGGGAGCACTTGGCCTCGGCAGCGTGGCTCCTGCTGCCAGGGATGTGCCTAGCACGGCGCCTCGGTGGGGAAAAGGGCAGTCTCGTCTGTTTAATCGCTCCCATCGCCACCCTGTCACTGTGAACTGGCAGGGACCCCGGAGCTGGCAGGCGGCTGCGAGCCGCACGCTACCTTCCTTCCCGTGCCCCGCGCTGGGAGCCAGGCGGCGGCTGGCCCGTCTCCCCGCCCAGGAGGCCTCGTCCGGGGGGCATCAGCCTACGCAGGCCTCCCTCGCCGTGACCCCGGCCCTTTCAAAGAGGAAGTTCATCACTCATGTTCCCCAACGTGAGGATGTCGGTGACACTGGGGCCATTTTAGAAATGAGGATGCTGGGATCTGAGAGGCAGTGACTGGCCCAAGGGTGGCACAGCTCTCTGCGGGCGTAGCCAGCATCGCCACCCTGATTCCAAACCTGCAGGTCCCGTCACAGCTGCGCTCCCTGGACGTGCCGCCCCTGGGAAGGGGCAGGGAGGGAGGGACGGGATGGAAATGATGAGTCCTGTCCTCGTGGTGGCTGCAGCCCACTTAGGATTAAAGTGAAGACAGAGCCAGAGTTCGCCTCTCCACCTCTCAGCCTGTTCTTTCACGGAAGTGTGTGCTGGGGACATGTGACACCTAATGTTTATTCAGACAAGAATGCCTGTTAAAATGAGAAGTGTAAGGGGGAAAAAAGGAAAAACGATACCCAACCTCCGCTTTCCTTGTGGTTATGCTTGAAGCCCATTCGTTTCAGGTTTACAGAAACCCCTGTCCAGTGGGAACTGGGTCCCTGGACACTTCACCCTGAGACATACCTCAAAGTCCTCGGAGAAGCCGTGCTGGTTGTTGGAATAGAGCTCCCCGACGTGTTTCACAAACTGTTTCACCGGGATGGCCTCCATGTCATCTGGGGACAGAAGGACACGCAGTCACACGGTGTGTCTCGCAGAACAAGCAGCGCCGGGAAGGGGACAAAGGCGTGCTTCTCGGGAGGAGTGACACCACGTGTCACCGGAAACAGACGTCCTCGAGACGAGCACGGGATTCCCTTTACGTTAGGGTCTCATTACGGTTTTGAATGTTTATGGCTAAACGTGGTTTTTAGAAAAGGTACATCATAAAAACTACCTCTGTGTTTATATTCAAGGCAATTTACCTAGTCAGACTGCCACATAGTCTTAACTAAAAAATCTGATCTCATCGAAGGCACCTATGTGTCAAGGACATTTTATCACAACCTTGTTGGCTTTTTAAAATTGCCATTCAATGGGGCCCAGCTTGAAGTTGGAGCGATTAAATTCTAGCTGCAATCTCCGCAGGCTCAGCGATCTATACACGCTATTACTGAGAGATGCCACGTACAAGCCGCCTTGGGGTTCAACGCCATCTATGCTAAGTATTCCAGATTTTAGTTTAAGACAGCTGTGTCCGCATGATGCCAAGTAATCAGTCTGGCTGAAAGTAACGGGAGTTTTTCTGGTGCCGGCAGCCTAGGTATGGATTCAGGAAGACGCCCCGTTCCAATGTGTTATGCTGTCACTCCACGAGGGTGCTCTCGCGGTTCCCGACCCACGTGGGCCTCACGCTGCTCCACCCAGATCCCAGCCGATGCTCCAGGGCCCCCCGAGAGACAGCCACGCCCCCCTAACCGGAGCGCCCCAACCTCTCCCCTCCCCCACCAATATTTCCTTTAAAAGAGACTCCGCTGAATTTGAGATAAACAACAGACATGACATTTACTTTATTCAGAGTGAAAGATCTTTGGCAAACGCACAAACATCTAAACTGCCACAGATGCTTTTCTTAGCAAAGGGTATGAAGATCTGTATGTGTAAATGAGGTCCTACTTTGGCAAGAAAAGTTAGAGATCCAGGCCTGACAATCTGATTCCCCTTCATCGGGTGACAGCTAACATTGACTGTGTCATTCCTCCTCTCCTTTCCTCCGAGAGAGAGCAAAGCTCCAGGGTGGCTTTCTGCATCTATTGACATTTTCAAACTTGAATCATTCTTACGCGGAAAATAGCATCTCTTAGACTTCGTGTAAGGAAGGTGATTTGTGTGTTCGCGATCCAAACTGCTTAGCACGGAGACGCGCTCCCCGCCAAACAGGTGCCGCTCTGTAAGCGCACATCCTTTCCGCGCGAACAATTAAAGACCCGATCGTTTTAATGGGCCACCTTACGAAAAAATTGCCAAGGTATTTACCAATATTTCAGGGTTGAAGCTGCTCATGAATATGCAATCACGCTGCACGCCCAAGAAATCTATAGCTCCGTGATGATGTAACCGGCATTAACGAAGCAAGCAGAGCCAAGACGCTTCCCCAGAATATTTAGCAGAATGCACAGTTTTTTAAAAAAAATAATGTTCCCCACATTATCTGATCAGTTCACTTAAAATGTTCAGAAGTAAGCAAACTCCAAAATAATGATCAAATGGCAAATGCATTAGCTTGTGTTGGAAAAGGGGTTTATTATGTACAGAATTGAAGAGTCTCTAAAAGAGTAATCTAAGCTCATCTTCAGACGAGAGGCAAAATGAGAGATGGCATGGAGCTCGCCCCTCAAACGCTCCCGGATGCAGACCCCAGCCTTTGTCTCCGGTTCATTGCCGAATGAGACATTCCTGTTTGCAAGGGCAGAGTGTCCTCGTTAACAGTGTCAGAGGTGGAGGACAATGACAGTTGAGAACTGTACATTCCTAATAAAGGTATGGTGAGCACATGGACTCTGGTTCAAAATAAGAAAAAGACATGTTCGCTTTGAAGCTATTTTTCTCCGCAAGGGACAAGCCACAGCATGTTAGCAGACACAGCTGACCTCAGATCATCAAAACCATGCTTCCATGTTAACAGTCCTCCTTTTCCCCCTGAAAAGTGCTCATCTGTACCACCCAGGCTAAGGCCATGGGTGCCCAGGAGCTGCCCCAGGGCTCAATGCAGCAGAAACCAGTGGGGCTCAGCAGGCTCAGCCTGGCAAGGGGGACGACTCACTAACCTCTCCAATTCGCTCTGTTATCCAAGGAAGTCTAACCACTCCCCTCGGGTCACCAGGCATCACCGGAAACGCCATGAAACTGGCAGCCAGCCACACACACACACACACACACACACACACACGCCCCACATGCACGCTGCACTGGCCACCGTCAGCTACATAGATCACACATTATTTGTCTTTTAATCAAGATAAATGAGACTGAGGGGCCGTAAATCTTTTTTCTCGCTATGAAGATGAATAGAAGGCTCTGACTAATTAGAAGTCCTAATAGTTTTCCTCTTATACAGCTTTTCTATTAAATGTCTGTCAGCAGGAGCCAGATAATTATAAGATTGCTATATCCAGCAGAAGGCCAGGCAATCAGGGCGCCATCCCAGACCTGAGCTGCACAGTTTTCATCTGGATGGACCCTCTGTCCCAGGAGCACGTCCATCTGAGAGATGTCATTTCCACGAAACATCGGAGTCTCATTAACGAGTGCAGCGAATAGTAGGCAAAACCACAGACCAGGTGCTTTCTGTGCCCTTTAATGTAGCGCACACGTGAACATGTATGATTTTCATACTCATCTTAGAGTGGAGAGACACGCTCAGAAAGATTAACTGAAGGTTGCAGGATGGCTGCAAAAGCTGGCCACCGACCCTCGGCCCAGATGCCCTGGCTGGGAGACCGGGTATGTGAATGGGAACCCCTGGACGAGGCACTGACTGAGCACCCGGGACTCAGGCAGAGGGAGGGGAGGTGGCCTCTGCCCAAGGGGGCCTTTGTGTGGGAAGGTAAATGCGGGAACTGCATCTAAGCAATGGCGAGGGCGAGAAGTGCCACCAAAGGGATGGAGCTGGTGAGGGTCCTGTCCCTGAGGCAGTGGAAATGGGAGAGAAACAGAGACCAAGAGCTGAGGGGCATCCCAGTGAGGATGCTCGCACTAACCACCAGCCACACGAGAGGTTGTTAGGTCTGAGTGAGGGCAGTCGGTATAAAGAGAAGGCAGCCACCATGTATTAAGCCCTCATTGGCTGCCAGGGACAGTGCCACATGCTTTTTCATAGATTTAATACTTTGTTAAGAACTAGGCAAAGGGGACCTTGCTATCCCCCATCACACACAAGGAAACCCAGCGGACTGGTTTCTAGTGACACCATTCCTCAGTGGCAGAGCCGACATTCGAACCAGGCGCACTGAGCCCAAACCTGCGCTCGTATGCCCCAAGATTCCCTCTCCACACCCCACGGCGTCCAGGAAGAGCGAGGCATGAGAACAGCTCAGCAACTTGATGAAAGGGCACTTTCTAATTTTGTGCCAAAAATTCTATCTGCTGGGTTTTCACATCACAAAGATATACTCCATCAGGCAAAAACGGGGCTGCTACTGTCATCATGCAAGCACCCCATTATGAAATGTTTGAGAGTCTGTTGCAGATCAGCACCTGCAATCCGGGCTTGCTGTTAAATGCTGCTATTTACACTTTCCCCCAGACCTAAGCCCCTGGTGGTTGGAACTAAACTCTGTGGGAAGAGGCCTTTTACTCTGGCCAGTCGGCAACAAGCCATCCCACGCCCCACGGACCACTCTGAGGAGGCGGAGATTAACCTCTGGATTGCAGCCACCGAAGGCACCAGGCAGAAGGCAGGGGTGAGCACCCCTCCGAGGAGGTGCCGAAGCCAAGGCTTCTCAGGAGGGAAAGGAGCGGAGCAGCGTGACTGGGGGAAATGCGGGAAAGCCGGTTTGAAGTCACAAAGAAAGCTGGTTCCAAAACCTGGGCCATGTCTCTGCTGTGCTCACACGTTCAAGGCCATGGGGGGAAGTGCCAGACTGGGTCTATGCTTCTAACCCGCTCCCGCGTGCTGAATTTGCTGGTCATCAAACACAAGTGGAAAAACAGCTTGCCAAAACCGGTTTGGCTCAGTGGATAGAACGTCGGCCTGTGGACTGAAAGGTCTGGGGTTCGATTCCGGTCAAGGGGCATGTACCTTGGTTTCGGGCACATCCCCAGAAGGGGGTGTGCAGGAGGCAGCTGGTCGATGATTCTCTTTCATCGATTTTCTGGCTCTTTATCCCTCTCTCTTTCTCTCTATGAAAAATCTATAAAATTAAAAACAAAACAAAACAAAAAAACAGCTTTCTTCTAGGCAATTTTTGGTGTGATAGCCGAAAGGAAAAATCAGCCACCAGGGGGCACTGCCGAGGCCCAGCCAGGACACCTCCTGGAGGTGCTCCAGCCTGAGTCCAGGACATTGTGCAGCTGCCCGGATGACAGCCAGGGTGACGGACACGCCCGAGTGCCGGGCACCAGAGGATGGTGTGCCCCGCTCTGTGCGACTCCCCTCTGCGTCTCTACATGGGGGTAACCTAACAGTGTAGTGAAAAGTAAACTAGATAACACAAGTACTGGTAAGAGCGCTTGGCCTTTAGCAAATTTGTAACGACTGTGACTCACTGTCCGGTGCTAACTACTTTATGTGTATGATCCCCCTGAGATCTAGGGGCCGTCACCACCTTCACTAAATAGATGGGAAATAGGCTCAGAGACCAAGGTACCGAGCCAAGGCCCACTGTCGTTATCAAGGATGGGGCCAAAGCTGACCCCAAGGCTGGCTTCTTCCCGTGATAGCACCTCTCTAGACCTTCACCTGAAAATACATGGTTAGCCCTGAGCAGTGGTTAGAGCGTCAGCCTGTGCACCCAAGGGTCCAAGGTTTGATTCCCGGTCCAGGACACACACATGGTTGCAGGTTCAATACCTGGGCCCACGGGGTGCGTGCGGGAGGCAACCAATCAGTGTCTCTCTCACAATGAAGTTTTTCTCTCTCCCCTCCCTCCCTTCTTCCCTCTCTCCCTCTCTCTTTCTCTAAAAACAAATGGAAAAAATACCCTTGGGTGGGGAGTAACAAAACAACAACAAAAAA